GACTGGGGCACTTACTTAATAAGAGAGGGGATTATATATACAGATTCCAGTTGTGACTTCTCAGCGATCCACGATACAAATGGAAAGAGTCATCTTCATAATGCTACCAGTGAGGAAATTTTATGGACTAAAGTTCCATAGACTATTTCAGGGAGCAAATGACCCTAAGAAAGTGGCAGTTGTAGCCTGCAGGGGGCATCAGAGGGGAGACTCAGAAATAAGAAAAGGAAACTGTGGAGCTAAACGTAAAAGCTTTGTGCAGAGAGATTCAACAGCTGCCTTTGATCCTCTCCAGGCCTAGACAAATTTGTTCCCTCCTACTGGGAGGAAGACAAGAAGAAGCAAAAAGGGCAGGCTTTCAAATGTCTCCTCTCAGCAGGGTTGGCAACTGACAAGCAAGGAAAAGTCTGTTGCTAGAAAAGGTGACCTGCCTGATTATTACATTTGCCCATAGTTCAACTCATTATGGAAAAGAAACTCTGTACAACGAGCTTCCTGGAGTAATTAAAGCTCTAGATTTAAAGGAGATCATAGTTAAACTAACAGAACAGTGTGTTATACTGCCAGAAAAATAACATTGCAATGAAGCCACCTGTGCCTCATGAAAAAGAACAATACAAACCAGAGACATGAGAGGGGACTGACCAATAGATTTTACAATCACGCCAACAGCCCCAAGGGCAATTTATTATCTCTCAATTCTTGCAGATATTTTTACTAGGTGGATGAAAGCCTTCCCTTACAAAAAGAGCAGAAATTATTCAATGATTTTTAAAAGGGGTGATCTCCAAGTTTGGGTTACATGGATCTATCTAGTAACAAAGGACCCACTGGTATTTCAAAGATAATGGGAAATTTTTCCACATACTAGGAATACAATACAGGTGTTACATGTGACATGGAAACCCTGACAAAACTGAATGAGTAAATCATACACTTAATCCATCACACACTTGACCAAACTGTGTGAAAGCTCAAAATTTGGTTAATACTTGTACCTATGGTTCTGAGCCACATCAGAGCTGCCTCCAAGGAGAAACTCAAGCTTAACATCTTTATTTTTGTTTATTTAGCTCATACTGGGGATTGAACTCAAGGGCCTTGAACTTGGTAGGCAGGAATTTTATCACCTAAATCATACCTACAGCCCTTTTTGGGGGGGGGGTAATTTTTCCCCCCTTAGAAATCCTCCTTTTTGGAAGTGGTGCTATGGCTCAAGTGGTAGAGCGCTTGCCTTGAGCTGAAGATCTGAGGGACAGCACCCAGGCCCAGAGTTCAAGCCCCATGACCTGCAAAAAAAAAAAAAAAAAGAAATCCTCCTCCTTCTGCTTCCTGAGTAGCTAGTATTACAAGCATGTACCTTCCATCTTTTTACATGAGTAATTTTGTTGTTTATTTACTTTATTATTATAAAGGTGATATACAATTACGAGATTACAATTACGAGTCAGGTAACAAGTACATTTCCTTTAGTACAGTGTCTTCCATTCCCTTACTCTCTCCCAGTCTCTCCCAATGCACTCTATCTGTACGTCCCAGTCTTACTGTAGATAACAAGCATGCACCACTGCACCCAGCCATTGCCTGGAGATGAAGTCTAACTTTTCCCCCACCAGGTCTGGGGATTGAATTCAGGGCCTGGGTGCTGTCCTTTGTGCTCAAGGCTAACGCTCTACCACTTGAGCCACAGTGCCATTTCTGACTTTTTCTGAGTAGTTTATTGGAGATAAGAGTCTCATGGACTTTTCTGCCAGGGCTGGCTTTGTCAATTTTCTTTTTGCCTGAGATGGCCTTACACTGCCATCCCCCAGTCTCCACCTCCAAATTGGCTAGGATTAGACTTGAGTCACTGCACCCAGCAAGCTCAGCACCTTTAAAATGTTGCATGGAAGGTCCTCTACAGGGGGGAACTAGTTCTAAAATACATCCTAGAAATTGAACTGGCAATAAATATCTAAGGTAGATTATGTTGCCCCTTACTAGGCAAGGAACCTAAAATTTCCCTCTATGAAGGTAAAGACTTCAACCCCTGTGCACCAAGTATTAGATACATTTGAAATCTGAAAGTCCAGATCTTCTCAACCTAACTCCATCTGGACAGGACCTTATTTAATATTACTAATTCTCTCCTGAGAATCATTATACTAAAATTAATATACTAAAGACTCAAATATATACTAAGGACTCAAATAATACTATACTAAATACTAGTAATAATAATAAGGCCTGCAACTAAGGACTCAAATAATACTATACTAAATACTAGTAATAATAATAAGGCCTGCAAATGCGTCAATGAGCTGGGACCAGGACTCAAACTAAAGCTAATCAGTAGGTAGAGCCAAGCAGTAAATAACTCATTTTACCCTTCTCTCCTAATTGGTCTATTTGTGCAATTTCTAATCTTCTGAATGCTTCTCCTTTGTGTCTTAACTAAAGGCTTAAAATTACATTTGAGGCAACTGTAAAAAAAGACACAACAGTAAGCATTCCTTCCTTTTTTTTTAGTTGGCCTGTTTGCCTGTTACTTAACAGTATTTTAACCTGCTTCTTTGGGACATTAAGTCTGTATTTTCTGGGTTATATAAATTAAGAACATCTAATGTACTGACTTTACTCATGTCAGAATTAGATGTACCTCAAAACATTTGAGAGCAAAACAATTATGGGAAGAATTCCAAAAATGGCATCAGACAATGTCTCTGGTGATCCTAAGACTTCCCTTGCTTTAGCATCAACAGTTTCATTCCTCTCACTAGGAAAAGAGCACCGATCAGCCAGAAGTAGTTACAAAATGACTTCCCACCCTGAGCCCCTCTAAAATGAGAAATGTCTCTAGGGAAATTATTACCCACTAAGCAAGGTAGTCACTTTTAGGAATGAACTTCTATTAATGCAACTTCAAAGTTCCTTTATTTTTAGCTAAAATTTTATGATATATGCTGAGAATGGCCATGGGCATTCGTCTATCATTTTAACCCTTTGAACATGTGTTGTATCCATGACCCTGATTTTAAGTATGAACAAAAATGTGCCTACTATCTTAAATTATAACCTCAAGATGGATATGCACAAGAATGTGCCCACCCCTAACGTGCTTTCCTATGAATATGCACAGGTTCCCTAAATAATGCTTCTGCCTCCTTTGGTTTAGGGAATTGCTCTGGAACCTACTCCCATGCTCTCCTTACCTGCTGCATGGAATAAATCTGTTTTATGCATTGGCTGTTTTGGCTTTGTACTCACCAAGATGTGAACTCATTGCATTGTTACAATCTATTGACAGACCAGTTTTACCTTTTGACTGTTATGTTGCTGAAACCTAAGTTCTATATAAACCTATTTGCATCCTCTTGGGGACTGAGAATTTTCTCTATATTCACATACCTGACACCAATTCTAGAGAGCGCCACACCCACCCTTCCTACTCTCCAGTCACAACACATAACACTTCTGTGACAAGATGGGGGGAGAGGGGAGGGTCTCACTTACAATCAATTGTCCACTAGGCACCAGCTTTCCTAGGTCATGTCAGATCCCACAGAAGAGCTCAGGCTTGTCCTTGGGTACAAGCTGCTAAGCTTCAAGTGTGACCTGACTCAGGAACCAGCCATAAACTTAAGGGTGGAAAGGACCACTGTCTCACCTCTCGTTAGTAATTTCTAAGATGGCTCAGAACTCAGAGGAACACTTAGATTAAGGATATTATAAAATATGAAGAGGTTGCTAAGGTAGTATGAAGGGACTCAGCTTTCCTGCCATCTCCAGGCATAAGCACTCTCCATGTGTTCAGCAAGCTGGAAGCTCACATCTCACTGTACAAGTTTTCAAGAGCCTGGTCTGCAACCATCCACCCTCTTCTGGTGACTGTTCACACTATAAGGCTACCTAAGGACCCATCCTGTCACTTCATTAATATCAACTTGGGTGTTACCAAGGGGATTATGACTATTGCACAGGAAATTCTAAAGGTTTGGGAGCTTGGCAACAGGAACCAGGGACAAAGACCAAATAATCCTACATACCAGATTTATACAGAGCAGTTGGACCATATGGCAATTCTGCAGCGCTGAGTAACTGCCGAGTCTGTTTCCCCTTGCTGCTGTATCTTCCATCCCCACCTGCATGGCACCAGGGCTCCTTTTTGGCTTTTTCACTAGTCATCCTAGTAGGTCTAAAGTAGCAGCATCTTGCCTATTTTGATTTGCATTTCTTTGGGAGGAACCAAGAACTTGAAGGACTTTACAGGTGCTTGTTGGCCATTTATCCTCTTTGAGGAACTGTGTACTAAATTACTTGGCTCATTTTTAAAATGGTTTTCTTTTATTGCTCGAGTTCTTTGTAAAAATCTATGGCTCTTTTCTTCTTAGTACGGTATGTTCCATTGACATATAAAAAAAAAAACAAACCTTACATTCCTAAGGAAACCATAACACTCCTACAGTACACCTCTTGTCTTTCCTCTTCATTATTAGCATCTCCATTCCTTTGAGACAAGGCTGGGCTCAAACTCCGTATCTTCCTGAATCAGCTTTCAAAGTGCTGGGATTACAGGTATTCACTACTATGCCCAGCTTCTCGTTGCTTTTAGAAGTAGTGTTCACCTCTTATTTTCAAACCCTTGAAATTCAATATACTAAGTATTACTTGAATACTGCTCAGTGACCAGATATCAGCTGAACAAATTGGGTAGAAATCAGTGATCCTTCAATTCAAATTCTATTTTTATTAGATTGTATGCATATAACAAATATACTGGTCAAGGAGCTATCCAGATGTCTTTCCAAGGTATTTAACGCCTTGCTTTGATAAGCAAAACCGTGTCACTGAAGTTCAATCCTTTTATTTTCAAAGTACATAAGTTACATCATTTTAGATGTAATTATACATAGTAGCAGTTTAGAACTAACTTACCCTAGGTGATTCTTTCTGACTCTATTAAATATTCAATATACCAAAGACTTGTCTAAAAATAAATGCATACATCAGGTGCATTTACATTCTCTTAAGTGTTTATTATAAACCAGTTTCAGAAGCCACAGAAATAAAAGGACTATGTACAGCCTTTCGGAAAACACGCAGGGAGTTGAGGGCCGAGATGAGTCTAGCGCATTCCCGGGGGAGGGGGCCCTGAAAGGAAAACCAGACAATCCAATGAGACTACACCAACAACTGCGTAATAAACAACAGGTCTATGGCAACATGGCTTTGGGGAATGGGTCCCATGCCTCTGTGGAGCTACTTCTGTAACTATGGCCCAAAGTAAGAGAAGTTTCATCAGGGCCTGATCTGGAACTCAAATCCCCAGTTATACCCCTCTACATCTACCTAGCAACCAGAAAGAAAAACACTTTGTATGTGGCTGACTTAGAATGTCTCTAGGGTTGCCTGGCCTTCTAAGAAGGCCTGGAAAATCCAAACTAGAAACACAGGGACTCTCTAGTTTGGTTTTTTGAGTTATCTTAAGAGTTACTATGCTTTCATTGAAAGAACACAAGGCTGGGAATCAGGATGCTAAGTATTTTCTGGATCTATTTTCTTACCCATGTGGAGTCAAACTGGAATTAAGCAAGAATGCATAATAATTAGTATCACAAACCCCAGAGACCCTCTTAATTACCAGACACTATCAAATTGGAGGACATTAACAATATCCTAATCTCTGTTGGGATCTTCAGAATGAATTATTTCAATGTCCCAAGGACTCTAAGATGCTGAGAAGTACCTTGGTTATTAGTCTGTTTTTAAGAGATTAGCATTAAAATGCTAATGTCCTTTCTAGACTAAGTTATCCTCCAAATACTCATAAGCTGAAGGCATGAAAGACCAGATATAAGTCTAAATCCAATTTCCTTCTACTTTCCATCTGCCTAGGCTCATGAAGGAAGCCAGTCAGTGCTGCTTGGGGCACTTACCTCTCATCCCTGGGGGAGGGGGCCGCATCCCCGGAGGGGGCATGCCCATTGGAGTCCCTCGGCCAGGCGGAATCCCCATTGGAGGACCCATGGGAGGCCTCATGCCAGGAGGTGGGCCCATCATGCCTAGAAGAGAAAAGCCCAGGAAACATGCCTCAAATGCCCGTCTTAAAAAGTATCAGGACAGGTGGACCCATTGCAACAAGGAGATGTACAAGTCATTATGTCAAAAAATGAACTTTACAACTTTGGTGGGGGGTGGAGGGGAGTATGGAAAGGGGAAACAAAGAGGAGGCAACAATGCTTGATAAGAAATGTACTCGTTATCTTGCCCATGTAACTGTAACTCCTCTGTACTGTATTTTCACACACAAAAAAAGTATCAGGAAAAGTACAAAGCTGTCTACTGAGTGAGCTATACCTTTCTACCCTCTCAGCCTCTGCTATAGGAAACATACAAAAGAGGCACTTGAGCTGAAAAGCTAGTGTTCCCCATGGCTTTTGTCAAACTACTTCCAAAGTCAGTCAGCCAGGCTGGATTTCAGAGTAATCCTGCTTAATTATATAAACTCATCACCCATTTCAGTCAAGGATCTATCTCATCATGAATCCAGCTAAGGCACTTCCTATCAGTTAGCACTGGTTTCTTTATGGGCTTCTCACCTGGAGGAGGTGCCCCTCTGCCCATAGGTGGAGGAGGACCCGCACGGCCAGGTGGGTACTGGGTTGGAGCCCCTGCAATACTGGCTGTGGCAGCAGCTGCAGCAGCTGCAACAGTACCTCTTCCTTGGGGGGTCATAACCTAAGAGGAGTTAAGCAGAATATTAGTTAGTTCAGCTTCCCATTCTCCTCCCCAACTCAGTTAAGAAATACCAGACACAAATCCCATGAAATAATCACTCAAATACCCAACTTCCACCCATATTCTAGGCCAGAGTCTAAGGGTGACGTATAAGACTTACAAGTAAAACTGATAATAGGTTCTAAAGTTTTCTTTTTGTTTTTTTTGGTCCGTTCGTGGGGCCTGAATTCTGGGTCTGTGTGCTGTCCCTCAGCTCTTCAGCTCAAGGCTAGCGCTCTACCACTTGAGCCACAACGCCACTTCCGGCTTTTTTCTTTTTGCTTATGTGGTGCTGAGAAATAGAACCCAGGGCCTCAGGCATGCAAGGAAAGCGAGCGCTCTACCACTGAGCCACCTTCCCAGCTCTAGGTTCTAAAGTTTTATGTTATCATGGAAACATTCTGCTCAAATTCAATTCAAATTCAAAATAATTTTTGTGCTCTCCTCACTTTAAAGAAACACTGACAGCCTGACAATCATGGACTGGTAATTCCACTATTCCCCAAGGGCAGACCCTCCCTTTATCTTTTGTTTTATCCACCAGAGAGTGGTTTCCTTTCCCCTATGTATCACCTGTTGGGATGGCCCACCAACCCCACGGACTGGTCCAGCAAGTCCTGCAGGGGCCTGAGGCATGGGAACACCAGCTGGAATTCCTCTGCCAGCAGCCCTGCCAATTCCTGGGCCGCCCGCAGCTCCCGCAAGTGGCACTCGGGCAATTCCAGTCTGAAAAATAAAGAAAACTGTCAATGGCCTAGAGAATCAGAGTACTGTTGAAAGCCCCTCAGATTCATAAGGCATTACAACTGCTTGTAACCACTACCTGCCCACATGTGCTAACACCATTCTTCTTCTGAAGAAGACTACATTTCTGTCACCCTGAAGCAAACTAGAACTTCAATCTAGAGAGACATGCCACAACTCAACCACCTACAGGTACTCCTATGAAAATGGATTTACTTATTCACATTGTTTGGTTTGAAAAAATGTTTCACATTTGTGACCAAGCTCAGCTTGGTCACAAACTTAGAATCCTCCTGCCTCCTTCTCCCAAGAGATAGAGTTACAAGAGCATGTCACCACACATAGCTCTCCTGTGAAAACTAAACCCAGAGCAAAGACCCACGATTCCCTCTGAATCAGTAGACAATATCAACTGATCTGGCAAGAAAAGGACATGAGATCTATTTTCGGCCCCAATTTTCACTGGTATACTGATACTAGGCAACTAATTCCACAATTCTGAGATTTTCCTTATCTGAAATGATGGCATTATGGTAAACTGGCTATGGTCATACAGGTTTATAATAGACTACAATAAAGTAGCCAACTTTACTGGAAGTAGGTATCAAATGTTATTGAATGTATGTTATGTGTTAATAAAGACAAAAAAGTGTGTGTATATGCATAAACCCAGGATACAATTATTCACTTGAGTAACAATGTCTTAAATGAAAAGGGGATAATAAGTTTGGTTAGATTATGTCTAAAGCTTGCTCTACTTATAAGCATTTGTAATTTAGCATTAACAAACCAAGACTATCTTGGATCAAATGTCACTTTATCATCATTTACTAGCTGGCATCTTAGGAACGTCATTATTGTTTCATTCATCTACAAGATGAGTGTAATACCTTAAGTAACTGTTACAAGGATTAAACAAAATACTGAAGTGCTCAGTGCACAGCAATCTGTAAGTGTACAAAACATACAAGCATTCTAGAGTGATAAATTTTAAGGCCACTTAGACCCTGTCATCGTATCAGGGCCATGACTCAGATGGCCTTAGGTGTGTTGCCTGCTATTCCACCACGTGTATCAACTGAGGAAGAGAGAAGGTCAAAGTAAGAACTCTAGTTCTCTCTCCGTTTATGTGCAGGGAATCTAACGTAGAGTCTGATTCCAGGCAGGACCTCTTGCCTGTGGAGAATCCACCCCTGTGGATTCTGCTCAGACTCACATCTTTAGGAGGTGGTCCTTCTACTGTCATTGAAACCAGGTTTTCCCCACGAAGCAGCACCAAACCAAGGACTCGCTTCTCTTCCCTTTCTGCTTGTTTGGAATTCTTTGGCCTAAAAAAAACATTTAGAAGAGGAAAAAATGAAAGCGTTACAAAATGTATAAAGTTCAGATTCACCTGCCTAGGAGCCTCCAAAGTCTTCTTTATATTACAATCCTGACAAACGGCACATCAACTTTGTCTGAGACAGGTTCTACAGTATCCATAGGCTAAGTCTGTGACCCCTTAGCCTACCTGTTTTCTATCAAGAGGATGCACACACCAAGAGAAGAACAAAAGAAAGCCCAAGAAAGCCCAGCCCTGCTCAGATGCTCTTCTATAGGCAACTGTAACAAGCTTTCCCTCAGTCAAGTGTTCTTCACTAGTACCTATTCAATGTCAGACAATTCCTCAAAGCAAGTGAATGGTCATCACCTCACTTCCATGTGGTATCCTTACACTACCAATTCAACCTCATAGATCTGTAATTCTGTCCTTTACATCAGAAATAGAAATGATGAAGGAAAAGGTAAAATAGCTTTCACATTCATAGAAGTTGAATTTCTACATCTGCTTACAAGAAATTTCACATCAATTCCTCAAAAAGCACAAACCAGAAATCACCAATGAGCAATCAGAAAAAGATAAACAAAACAAAAATGTAAACTAAAGACAAAATACTGTGATTTTTAAAAACTTGTAAGATTTTATTTTTATAGTATTTTTATTACTGTAACTGATTTTCTGTGAGTAGACCTTCGTTTCTTACTTTTAAATAGGAAAGTACTTTTTTTTTGGGGGGGGGGGGGGTCCGGTTGTGGGGCCTGAACTCTGGGCCTGGGCACTGTCCCTCAGCTCTTCAGCTCAAGGCTAGTGCTCTACCACTTGAGCCACAGCGCCACTTCTGGCTTTTTTTTTTCTTTTTGCTTATGTGGTGCTGAGGAATCGAACCCAGGGCCTCAGGCATGCAAGGCAAGCTCTCTACCACTGAGCCACTTTCCCAGCCCGAAAGTACTTTTTTTAAATAAGAGAAAACCCTATGGGAGATTTAATTTTTCACTGAATTTTAATCAGAATAAAAAAAGACTGTCTAGAATAGTTCCACACTCATCTCCTGTCCCCACTCTAACATTACCAGGCACTTAAGCATCTCTATGCTTTTATCCTGTACTTCTCAACCTTGAGACACAATAGAAAATAACCCCCAAAAAGCATCAAAGGGAACTCAGAGCTAGTGACATGATATGAATACATGTGACACAAGTGTGCATATGACCTGAAAGACACATAATCTCTTTAGACTGCAAGATGTCTTGAATATAATAGGTCAGAAAGCTTCGTTAATGAGCCAGAAGCTGAAGATTGAGATCTAAAATAAAGGAGTATGAAATAAAGTACAGAATTCTGGCAAAGCAGAAATTGCCAATTGTTTCTAAAATGTCAACAAAAATCAGTGGCCCCAACCCACAAGGGGAGCAGAGCACTTACCCTGAAGAGGGTCAGAGGCTTCTTAAAGCAGTTTCAGACCAGGCTGCATTGTGAGAGCCCTTTAGGCTACAGCTTTACAAATAGGTAATGAGGCCAGAAAACCAAGTTCTCCCCCCTCACACACCTGTGGGGAGAACATGAGAGCCCTTTACCCCAATACCCAGGGGGACGCAAAGTAACTACAATCAAAAGCCTAACAGTCCTCCTCACAACTTGCACATTGCCAAAACAAGAGAAGGCTTGATGGACTCAGAAGATTTCTTAGCATTCATGTTCCCACTGACATCAGTCTTCAAAAGCAGGAAAGCAAGCAGAGAGGAACCAACTACCTGCATCACCATCTGTCACTCAGCCCACCCAACCCATTCAGTTCCTTTTCCAATTCTTCCTCCCCCCCAACAAGCCCTCTCCTTACTTAATCTTCCGGAACTCATCACAATCACAGAGGATCAAATTCATATGTTTGTCAAAAGCCTTGAAAGTCCCGATGAATATCCGGCCATCTTGCAGAATGCATCTCATTCTGTAGTCAATGTGCTGCAGCATCTTGCTGCTCTTGCCGACCGTCTGCAAGGATAAATCAGCAAAAGTGAGGTTAAAGTGTTCAGTAACATCCAAATTTCTTTACAACCTGAATAAAAGAAGAGCTGCAAAAGGATTTGCACCCAAAAAAATTCCAATGAAGGAACAGCTTATTACTACCAGAAAGGAACTGACCAACTCTAAATTGAGGGAAATGGAACCCTCAAACAAAGAATTTGTCTCCAAGAGCTTGCCTTCTGGGGAGAAACAAAAATCTTCTGGTGGTTTTTAAGAACATTTAACTTGCTATACTTATTTCTTACTTTGCAACTATGCTTTTATAGCTTGGCTTCTAGTGTAGCTTTACAAAAAGAGAAAAGTTATGCAGACATCATTATGTGAACTGCCATGTGCTCCTGGCATTTTCTTTCTGTCTAGAAAAATCCCACCTGACATTTGATATCTTATTATCAGCTTCCCATCAGTCTGACTGGTGCAGGCCAGTCAGAGGAAGAATGGGAATAAGGAACCAGACTAACTTATCCAAATGCCTTCTCCATGTTTGATATTCATTTCTCTGATCCTGAGCAAGGACAACTTTCTGAACTCTTAAATCTGTGGACCCAAACTATGTCTCCAAGCTAAGACTGCCATTCTGAAGACCCAGGTACATTGGTCTGTCTTACATGGCCACTTTATTTTTATTTTTTAGATGATCATTTTGAAGGGCTTCTAATCCCCGCCCCCCCCCCACGCTCTAGGAAAGAATAACATTTCATATAGGTCTACAGTCTGACCTACTGAGTGCTGTGTAGTCAGGCACCATGATGAGCACTGTACATCTCATTTAATCTTCTGAACTAGGCCCATTATCATTTTTTACTGATAAAACAGGCCACAAATACTGGAAGATGTGTTAAGTAACAATATGTTTCACAGGTGGAAAGCTGTGTAGTCAGCCAATTTTCCTAACTAGGTTTCCCTGCCTTTCTCCTGCTTTTTTTTTTCTTTCTCCTGCTACACAACAGCTAGAGTGACATTTCATTTTTGTTTTGAGAAAAGGTTTATGTAGCCCTGGCTAGCCTCAAACTCTCAACCCTTCTGTCCTAGCCTCCAGGCATGGGACAACATGCTCTTACAGTGACTTTTCTTTTTTCCTTTTTTTGGTGCCAGTACCAGGACCTGAACTTACTCAAGATCTCCCACTTGCCCAGCCTGTTTGCTTGTGGTTGACGTTTTACCACTTGATCGGCTCTTCAGTCATTTTTCTAAGCCCCTGAGTTCATGCCTGTTGTTAAAAATCCTTCAAGGATAACACTTTTTACCAAAGATGCAAAGCCCTTAATAATCAGGTTCCTGCCAATTCCTCCCACCTGTTTTTCTATTTCTCCCTTTTCCTATCAACAATTTCCAATGATGAGCTACCTACCCTCTTTGATCTCTAAGTTCTAGGATGTGTAACAGCCCCTCCCATTTTCACGGAGAAAGTAAGGCGTTCTTATCCCGCCCCGCGCCGTTACTTCTGCCTAATGCTGAATTACTCCACTAAATGCTATTTACTATCCGTGTCCTCCACTAGAAAGTGAACTCAGGGAAGGAAGAAAATGTGTTTTTCTGGTGCTGCCCCAGCGCCTGAGAAGTCCGAGATAAACAAGCGTAACAAGAGTTTAACTCCTCCAACCAACATTCTCATTGACCCCCCCCCCTTCTTCCCAAGATTCCAGTTCCGGACAATTTCTCGGCCTCTCACCCACTTTGCTCAAGGAGCTCGTCTGTGCTCCGAACCGCCCTCCCCCCCGACATGTCTTTATTCAGCCGAAGTTTACTCCGTGCCCGCAGTGTCCCGGGCATTACAGCTACCGCCCGTGTGGAGAGGCCCACGACAGCGGTGCCACCTCCGCCACCACCGAGCGGCCCCGGCCTCCAATCCCCAGTTCCGGATTCCCTTCTTCCCGCTCCCGGCCCGGCCCGGCCCCACAGGCGAAGCGCCGCGGCCGGGGCCTTCACAAAGAAGCGCCAGCCCTCGGCTTCCGAACCCACCAGCCGCGGCCTCGACACCACAACACATTCGGGAGCCCAAACGCCGCTACCCAGCGTCTTCTCACCATGGTGGCGGCCCTGATGGATCGGATTCGCGCCGGATTCGCCTCCTCCGAGGCCTAGCTGCCCGCCACTAACCCAGTTCCCGCCGCTGCTAACGGAAGTGCACCCAGCAAATTGCGGCCGCGTATGAAGCCACTTCCGGTCTCTGCCCTCGCCCTTTTTGTTCCGGCCCCTGGGGCGGAGTTATTGGCAGGGCGGAGACCCGGCTAGAGGGCGGGGCCCAGGGCAGTCTTAGCCTGGAGCTTTGAAGAATTTTAAGATCCTGAGATTCACACCTTCCTGTTTTCTGGTTTTTCTCTCCTTCCTGTGCTCACCATACCTCCTACTCGGGCTCTCCCTAGTACACCCACAATTCTTGATTTTTACTAACCGGTTGCAGGAGCTCCTGCCCCAGCATTTACTGGAATCCTAGCCCCAGGTACGTGTACAAATTGAAGTCCTCACCTCCATCAAGATTGAAGCTGAGATAACATTGGCACCGAGAGGATTCCCTTCACCATCCTCTTTTTAAATCCCCACCTTCCTGGGCTGGGAAGGTGGCTCAGTGGTAGAGTGCTTGCCTTGCATGCCTGAGGCCCTGGGTTCAATTCCTCAGCACCACATAAGCAAAAAGAAAAAAGCCGGAAGTGGCGCTGTGGCTCAAGTGGTAGAGTGTTAGCCTTGAGCTGAAGAGCTGAGGGACAGCGCCCAGGCCCAGAGTTCAGGCCCCACGACCGGACCCAAAAAAAAAAAAAAAAAAAACAGTGAGATATTATCGGAGGGGGATCTATTTCAAGATTCCCAGTATCTTCTTGAAACTGCGGAGAGTACCAAGTCCTGGATATGTCATATCTTTCCTACATGTACATACCTGTGATAAACTTTCTCCTTTTCACTAGGGAATACTCTATGTCAATTTTGAGTTGCTATTATCCTACTCTTGCACTCCAGGACCATTTTTAAATAAAATAAGTCTACTTGAACACAGCCCTGACGGTCTGACAATCCATAGAGTGGCTAAGTGACTAATAGGAGAGTAGTATATACAGCATGGATATGCTGAACAAAGGGTCGGTTCATGTCCTAGGCAGGGCAAAGCAGGAAGGCATAGTATTTCATAATGCATCTCTAAATGGTGTGCAATTTAAAACTTAGAAATTGCCAGCCATGATATTTCACTCCTATAAGCCCAGCACCTGGGAAGCTAAGTGAGGAATATCATAATGAGATTCTGTCTCAGAGAAAACAAAACAAAAGGTATGAATTACTTCTTGCTGGAATGTAGCTTAGGACAAAGGGCTCAATAAATATTTGGTAAATGAATTAATGAGTCAATCTCATTATGTCTCATAATTTTCTAATTGTTATCTATGTACCTAGGACCTTCTAATTTATTCCTCTCACCTCTTTTGTGTGTGTGTGTGTGTGTGTGTGTGTGTGTGTGTGTGTGTGTGCTATTAGTGGAGCTTAAACTCAGGGCCCTTAGTTTTTTCACTCAAGGCTGGCACCCTGCCACCTGAGCCTCACCTCTACTTCCAGTTTTTTTCTGATTAACTAGAAATAAGAGTCTTTTGGATTTTCCTGTCCAATCTGGCTTTAACCTATGATCCTCAAATCTCAGCCTCCTGAACAGCTAGGATTACAGGCATGAGCCACCAACACCCTAGTCTTTCCTAACTCTTGGTCTTTGATATCTAGCCATCTATTTGGCATAGCTGTCTAAATGGGTACAGTAAATTTAACATGTTACAAAGAAAATATTTATCTATTCACTCTTTCCTCCCACCTCATCTCAGAGCTTCTCATTTTCACACCATTGCTAAGGAGTATATTCTCTTGTCCTGTTTCTGAAGTCTGTAGGTGACAACATGGACATCCAGAGAGGTAAACAAGCCCATCCAGCGTGACAGGCAGACTGGGAATGTGCAGAGCTCCATTTGGCTCCTCAGCTGTTCCTATGCCCCCAAGCGTTACCCAGCCACCAACCCTATCATCCATGCATATATTACTTTAACTTTTTTCCAGGCCTAATAGCTAATTTTTTTAATCTGGAAAACTCCAACTGGGTAAATGAATTCTCTAGAGCCTAGGCAGCCCCTCTCTAGTGAGCACATATTGACTTCAACCAATGTCAGAATGAGGGCGTGTAGGATGGTAAAAATTCTGAGCAATCTGGTTCTTTGAGAAAAGTAGGAGAGTGTATAGTTGAAGAGTAGCCGTTTAGTTGGAAAAACAATGGAGAGGTTTAAAAAAAAGTTGTCCTGAAACAGTTATTAGAATCATAAAGTGGGCATGTCATTAGCAGAACTGGGTCCTAGGGCTGGATGCTGAGGGGACATTGATACTGGAGCTGTGTCTAGGGATCTTTGGACACATTATCATTGATTGTAGGAGTAGTTACAAGGCCCAGCACACTGACCCACAACTGCAGAACACTTTGAGACTAGAAGGACCTAAGCCTGGAATCCAGAATGTCCCCAGAATCTGGAAGGCTGCAGATGGACATAGCAAAAGAGTTCCTGGAACGGGAGCTGTAAACAGACCATTGAGGAACCAGATAGAGAAGGATTCACAGAGACCTGAACAGAGACAAGACAGAAGGAAGGACATTCAAGATGTGGAGCTTTCCTAGAAGCCAACAGGCAATCCGTGACAAGAAAAGACAGCTTAGCTCCAGAGATCTGCTGAGTTCTTTCCTTGTACCGGGTCTGTCTCCATTCCCACCATCCTGTAACAGGTGAATCTGGCAACATCAGTGCCAGATTGAGCCCAGAATAAATCGAGAGTATACCTCAAAATTCCGCCAGAGGGCCAGATCGTTCCATCTTAAAATGGGCTTCTGCCCCGACCATCTTCATAAAAGTGGTGGGATGGAGAAGTACTGTAACATGCAGCGATCTTCATTCAACAAACTTGGAGTTTGCCTGGCTGTCTGCTTCCAATCCTTTCTGATTGGCTCTCACCTTTCCCCTGCCACTAACCTTTCAAGATTTACAATTTCCTCCACCCCTGCCTCTCAGATTTAAACTCCATGATTTGGACCAATCTCTGTTGCCTAGAACCTGAGTCAGGAAGAAGACAGAGCTCAGGATCATGTCCAGGGAGAAGGAGCCTCTGAATATCTCTTTCCACACCTGTTTGGGCATACAGAACTCAGCTCCTGACTCCTGTGGCCCAAGGATCCATCTGTTCCATCCTCTATGGCACTGTACTCTTTAAGACTGCTGGATCCGTTATAAGGGAGAGCTCTAGGTCTTCAGTCTTCTCCAAAGACAACCCCTCCAACTTATTGGAGATAGAACCCAACCCCAAGTTCTCCATCCTACATAGTCCTCAAGCACATTCCATGGTCCATTTATGTGGTTAGAAGTTGTGCTGCCAATTGGGCTTCTCACTTTAATCATATCACACTTCAATTCCTCTGTTTATATAATTTTGCTAGAATGTAAGCTTTTTTCTGGCTGTACTGAGATTTGAACTCAGGGCCTTGCACTTGCTAGGCAGGAGCTCTACCACTTGAGCCATGCCCCCCCACCTCCCGCTACAATGTGAACAGAATCAAACAGGCCCACATAATAGATTTCATTATCTTTCCTGGTAATTATTCTTCCCTGCCCCTGATAATGGGCTTGACCTTGTGACTTGCCTGGAACAACAAAAGGTGAGTGAAAGGAACGGTGTCACTTGAGAACAATGCGTTTCCGAAGGAGACATTTGTTCTACTGTAAACCTCCCCATAGTCCACCATTGTGACTCACTCATCCTACAGATGACTTATACAGAGCCATTTAAATAAAATACAAGGATGTAAGTGCCATTGATAGGAAATCTCCGTCCCTTCTACTCTCTTTTGCTGTGAATGTAAAACCTCTACAAATGAAGTCTGCTTGTACAAAAAGAGAAAGAAGAAAAACAGCTCCAGTGGTTGAGCACTGGCCTTGAACAAAAGCAGACAAGTGAGAACACAAAGCCCTGAGTTCAAGCCCCAATACCAGCACCATAAAGAAGGGAGGGATAAGGGAGGGAAGAAGGGAGGGAGAGAGGGAGGGAGGGAGGAAGGAAGGAAGGAAGGAAGGAAGGAAGGAAGGAAGGAAGGAAGGAAGGAAGGAAGGAAGGAAGGAAGGAAGGAAGGAAGGGGAGAAAAGACAGTCTGTTCATAACTCATACAGAAAAGCTCTTAGGAAAAGGGAAGCATTTGTTACCACCAGATCCCCACAGCCTCCCCTCCCCTCACCCGCATCACCCATTCCTTTGCTCTTTGGAATGAGTTTGGGGGGAGGAGGGGGCAGTGATACAGCAGCAGCTCTCATTCTCCAGCTAGGGTGTTACCAGCTGGTAACTGGATCCTCCCCATTGTGCTGCTTTACAAGGTTCCTTGAGCGACACTGGATGTTTTGTAAGCAGATACTCATAGCTAATTATATCTATATATGCTTTTAATTGGAGGGGTAAATTAGCGAGATAGTCCTGGAAGCTTCCCTATTGACAAGGGTTTTGTGATGAAAGTGCCTCTGGAATTGGATGCCCTGCAACCTGTGCTTGGGATCATTCTTGGTCATTTTTTTTCTTGCTGTAATATTGGTTTTATTTTCTTCCATCACACTCCTGAACGATTATTACAAAGCTTACTATCCTTAGTTTAAGCTGTAGCACTGTTCAGCACCCTGATGAATTATGAGAACACCCCCTCCCAGTGTTATTACTTCTCAGGGCAATGTTTATTTCTGTTGAGTTGAATGCACAATCAATGTAAGTTGAATAGTAATTAGGCTTGGTGCTAGTGCCTAGCTACTCAGGAAGCTGAAATCTGAGGGTCACAGTTTGTAGCTAGTCCAGGCAGGAAAGTCTGTGAGACTCTTTTCTCTAATTAACCAGCAAAAAGCCAGAAGTAAAGCTGTGGCTCAACTGAATGAGTGTCTGCCTTGAGCCAAAAAAGACAAGCAAGAATGTAAGGCTCTGAATTCAAGCCCCAGTATTCAGCAAACACAAAAGTATTAATTAGATCAAGACTTTGAAGGAAAACCAATTTTATGACAGGTTAAAAGGCATGTTTTTGTGCTACCTAATTTTTTTCATTATCTTCAAACTAAATTATTTTTCTAGTTTTCTTAAAACTTGCAAGTGTGTAAAATCAAGAAGTTTTTATAGGCATGTTGAAATCACACTGTTATGCCAAGGTCGCAGGACCCCTCCCCGCAAGAAGACCACCGAGAGTCAGACTCTACAGCTGTTTTATTTAAGCAGGCTGCCTCTCGGGCCTCGTCCTACACTCCAACACAGACACAGTGGAGTCCATGAGGAGAGCCCTGAGCTAAGGATTTGCAGCTCTTCTATAGGCACACAATCAACCAGGTGTTTTGATTACCACCACGTGTTGCTTTGCTAGACAGAAACAAGCAACATGTGGTAGTCACTGCCTCAAACTTTAACCTTTTAACACAAACAATTTTGTTTTGAAACAACCTATTTGAATTCAAGGCCTCATATTTTCTAGGCAGGCACTCTTCTACTTGAGCCATGCCCCCAGCCCTTTTCATTTGAGTTATTCTTCAAATAGAATCTTTCATTTTTGCCTAGACTGACCCCAACCACAGTCTTTCTATATATGCCTCCTATGAAGCTGGGATGGTGAACCATACACTTCACCCCACACTTCATGGTTGGGTTTGGCCTCCGACTGTCATCCTTCTTCACTAACACTGCCTCCTGAGTAACTGTGCTTCAAGCATCAGCCGCCAAACCCAGCAGGAAAGGCAAATCTTGAGGAATATTTGCAAACCCCATGATCACAGCAGAAAAAGAATCTTCTAAAAGATTGCATTCAGTCCTCAGAGACTAGATCCCACCTGACAGTTATTTAAGGACATAGTTTGTCCTCAAAGATGGGCTGTTGTCATAAGATTCTGGAGCTCATCTTCTACCGAGAGTTCTCAGGATAGTCTCATAAGCATAAAGAAAAAGACAAAATGCTTTGTGTTTAGCACTTGAGTTCCAAAATTGTTTCATTCCTGTAGAGTCAGCAGGGCTGGCTCCCCGCACACAGGTTCCTTGCCAAACAGGCACCTGTAGGCTCACTGTATAGAAGGAACGGATACCAGTGAGGGCCCCTTGCTGCCCTGCTGCCCCACTGACCCTGCAGGAACCAGTTGGATCTGAAACCAAGATGAGATGACAAAGGAATACGTTTAGAAGCTTGAGATGCTGCCACACATGGCAGTTCCTGTGCCCCCTCCCTTCACTAGGTGACACACTCTGTAGCTCCTGACCCCTTGAAAACTGGGCTAGTTAGGAGACATAGGTCTGGCCAGAGGCTGGAGATGTATGAAACCCGAATGAGACTTGCTCTAGAGCAGGTTTTTGTTTTGTTTTGTTGTTTCAGTACTGGGGTTTGAACTAAAGACTTGGCACTTGCTAGGCAGATACTCTATCACTTAAGCCAAGTCTCCATTCCTTTTTGCTTTCCTTATTTTTCATATAGGATTTTCACTTTGGGCCTGTGCTAATCTGGATCCCCACTTATGCTACCAGCATAGCTGAATGACTGGTATGAACCACTGTACCCAGATTTTTATTTCAATTGAGCTCTCATGAATTTTCTCCTTTAGGCTGGCCTTAAATCACAATCCTCCTGATTTCTGCCTCCTACTGCACAAGTTTCTCTCTTTTTCCTTTCTTTTTTTCTTCTTTCTTCCTTTCCTTCCTTCCTTCCTTTCTTTCTTTTCTTCTTTCTCTCTTTACTTTCTGTTACTGGGGTTTGAACTCAGAACCTCTCATTTTCTTGACGTAGCTTGCTTGCTCGACTGGCACTCCACCACTTGAACCACATCTCCAGCCCAGCATTTTGCCTGTTAATTGGAGAGTATGTCTCACAGACTTTTCTACCTAAGTTGGCTTTGAACTGCAGTCCTCCACATCTTAGCCTCCTGTGTAGTTAGAATTACAGGTGTGAGCTACCAATGCCTGACCCCAGAGATGGTTTTCAAACAGCCAAATCTGCCCTCCAGAAGGCAGCAGTGGGCAAAGCTACTGAGTGAATGAACAAGTGGCTGAAGTGGGAACATATATCAGGGTGGGCTCAGGATTCGTAGGCCAGAACCAGAATGAAGGTTCCTGGAACCTGACCTAAGGTTGGTGATTCAAATGACCAGGGTCCATCCTGGGAATCTGCATTTTAAGTAGAAGCCCAGGTGGCAATTTACATAATCATCCTTGAGTTCTCCTGTGCCTTTGTCCCAGGCAGGGCTAAGGCAGTAGGAAAGAGTCCTAGGATGTAGCTCGCACCTCCCCTGGCTGGAATGCCAGTGGTGTCATTGCCAGGAGATGAGCCTGTGGTTCTTGGCCCCTCCAGGGCCCCTCATTTATTAGTAATGCCTGAAACGTGAGGCCACAACACCCTTAGCAGGGAAACATGAGCAGAGGAGTGTGCAACCGGATTGATGGGCTGGGAATTTGCTGCCTCTTTCCCCAACACTCTCACTCTCTCTCTCTCTCTCTCTCAAACTTTGCCTACCTCTGCATTCAAGCTCAAACCAAGGAGCCCTGGCTTCTATCAAGGCCCAAGAAGGGAGGCCAGACATAATGAGGACAGGAAAGCTCCCCAGGATGGAGATGTAGAGTGACAAGCAAGCTATGTAAGTCTTTGTGGGACCCAGGGAGCCCTGCTGACCATGAGCCATCAGCTAAAGGGCCTGGAGAAGGAAGGTGAGTCCTAGCCTCATCCTGGAGAGATCCACCCCATAGGGGGTCCCGGGCAAAGTGGGGCGTGGAAGCCATCTGCACAGGCATGGGAGACCCGGCATTTGTGTATTGAGTGACCTCAGACTGGCTATTCAGCTTCTCCCTGTTTCCATGGGATGATAGCACTGCCTTCAAGGGCCTCAGGAGACACTGAAAATGACCTTTGTGAAAGACTGTGCCCCGAGTCCCTGATGGGGGCCATCACAGGCCCCCCAATGTCTTTAGAGCCCCCAGGGTCTCTCAGCCTCCCATCCTGACTTTAGTTGCCTGTTCATCTCACCACTTCCTCTCCCCTGTCTGTCTAGGGCATGAGGGTGGGGGTGGAGGGGTTCTGACTCCAAGACTTTTTCAAAGTATTAGAGAAATATCCCAAGCTAGGGACTTGGGGCTTGTTAAATAAAATAACTGGAGCCAGGTTCCAGTCTGAGGGTTCTTCCCATGACAGTGGGGTGCTGGAGGAGAAAGGACTTTGCAGAAGGCAGCCATTTATCCTGTTCTTGTCCCTTCCAGCAGGTGGTGGAGTGAGAGGGAGGGCCCGGAGTGGGCATCCACACCCAGGTGAGAAGGGCTGGGGGGGGGGTACATGATTCACAGCCCTGCAGTCCAGCTGCCAGCCCCACATCCTCCTTCCTCCCTTCCTGTCTCCTTCCTCCCTCCAACCATCCCTCCCTCTCCCAATCATTCACTCTACACAAGCTGTCCTGGGAGGTGGGTGGCTTACTTAACTGGAGAGGGAACAGAATGTCACACACAGGTATTCTGCTCCTCAGCCATGAGTGTCAGGGGGGAACATGCCTGCGGATAGAAACACTTTGACCAGAGCCTTGCAAAGCCAGAATATTCACTAGCCAGGGGACAGGACAGTGTGAGGCAGGCGGTAGACAAGACAAGTCCCAGGCCACTGCTCTGTAGAGGGCACTCTCAGGACTCCTAAGAGTCCAGCAGTCGCAAATGCCCAAGCACCTTCCATCAGAAATGTGATCACAGCTTGTCAGTGAGCTCGGGAGGGATCTAGCCACCACCAAGGAGAAACTGGGGAGCCCCAGGAAGCCATAGGCAGGGGAGAACCACACACACACTGCCATGAGGCGAAGGGATAAGAAGTCACACACACACACACACACACACACAGAGCTTGGGCACTATACTCCAGGCCACAAATGATGATGGTTGAAGGACCATTCTCTTCTCTTCACATCCCCAGTGAGGCTGGACCCCACTTGTAGATGAGGAGGTATTGAGGCCTTTAAGGAGTTGGAAGAGATCACTCTACTCAATTCTGCAGGGGATAGACTCAGCCCCATGTGGAGAAGGTGCCACCATGACCTACCTCCTCCAACAGGGACTTCTACTCCTTCCTCACGACTCCCCACTACTGGGGTCCTGAGACGTCAGTGAGGGTGGGGCAGGGAACTTTGATGGGAGACAGGCCTTGATGCACCCCTGGAATTCCCACAGCCCTTCCTGTACCCACATCCCCTCCTCCCTCCCAACCTCTCATTATTACAGTCCCTCTTCCTCACAACCTTTCTTATAGCATCTCACCCCTTTGTAAAGCTACAGTCCACCTATTTTAGAATTTCTGTAGAAGTCTCATAAAAATTCCAATGTCATTCTTTACAGAGATAGAAAAAAAATCCTTCCTTCCTTCCTTCCTTCCTTTCTTTCTTTTTTTCTTTCTTTCTTTCTTTCTTTCTTTCTTTCTTTCTCTCTTTTGGAAGGAAGGAAAGGGAAGGAGGGAGAAAGGGGGGAGGGAGGGAAAAGAAAGAAAGAAAGAAAGAAGGAGTTTGGGCGCCAGTGGCTCACACTTGTAATCCTAGCTACTCAGAAAGGTGAGATCTGAGATTGCAGTTCAAAGCCAGCCCAGGCAGGAAAGTCCATGAGACTCTTACCTCCAATAAACCTCTCAGAACTGGAAGTGGCGCCATGACTCAAGTGGTAGAGTGCTAGCCTCGAGGTAAAGAGCTGAGGGACAGTGCCCAGGCCCAGAGTTCAAGCCCCATGACTGACAAAAGAAAAAAGAAAAAAGGAAGGAAGGAAAGAAAGAAGGAAGGACAGAAGGAAGAGAAACAAATTATTTAATCTCAAAATACTCTGGTATTTTTCAGCAGTCTTCAATTATACAGAGGTTACTGTCCATGCCTATGTGTTCCAGTATTCCCTTATTCTTTCCTGTAGTAGTTACAATGTTTCATGTTTCACATTAAAACCCTTGATCTGCTTTGAACTGATATTAGTACAGGGTGAGAGGTAGGGATCTAGTTTTGGCAGTACAGAGAAAGCATCATTTCTTGAAGAGGCTTGTCTTTTTTTTCCACTGTATATTTTTGGCTCCTTAATCAAAAATCAGATGGCTGTAACTGTGTACATTTATTTATGGGTCTTCTGGCCCATTGGCCTTCCTGTCTATTTTTGTGTCAGAATCATGCTATTTGTGTTCTACCACTATATAGCATAATTCACAGCAAGTCAGTATTGTGATAACCTCCAGAATTTGTTTTTCTAAAGATTGCTTGGCCTTTTCAGTTCTTGTATGGTTCCACATGAATTTTAGGCATGATTTTTTTTCTATCTCTGTGAAGAATGACCTTGGAATTTTTATGAGACTTCTACAGAAAAAGATAGACACAGGAGAAAAAAGTATACAAGTTCATTTAAGTTGTTTTAGTGTGTGTGTGTGCCAGTTCTGAGGCTTGAACCCAGGGCTTGGCACTATCCCTGCATTTTTGTGCTCAAGGCTAGTGCTCTACCACTTAAGCCACAGCTCCACTCCCAGCTTTTTTGTTAGTTAATTGGAGGTAAGAGTCTCACGACTTTCCTACCTGGGCTGGCTTTGAACCATGACCCTCACATCTCAGCCCCTTGAGTAGCGAGGATTACAGGCATGAGCCATCGATGCCTGGCTCACTTAAGTGCAATATGCCTGAAATGAAAATCAGAAGACCAAGAGGGAAACTCTTTTTAAGGCCAACAATTTAGAAATAGGCTTGGAGGACAAAAAGCTAATGACAACTGAGAATCAAGAACCTAGACAAGACTGTTGTTAGGTTCTTCCTGGCCTCACTGTGTGACATTCTTTCCTAAAAAGCAACAGAGCAAGCCACTGCAGGGTGGGTCTTCAGGGGGATGAGGAGGGAGGTCAGAATGACCTTCATTCTCCATTCTCTTCAGCAGAAAACAGTCTATGCACCAAGATGCAGGGGTCTCAACCCCAGGACATCTTGGACTTAGGATTTCTCACAGGGTGGGATGGGACACTTTCCAGTGGCTGAAGTTAGTAGGTCAGTACTGTCTCCTTTCTGCCCCTTCAGGTGACAGATCAGGGAGGAGACCCTCGACGAAACGGACTTCCAAAGCCAAGGGTTCACGGGTCCAGCATGGAGTCCAGCCCAGCCAGAAGGAGAGGCCTGGGGGCAGCCCTAGACCTGGGTCTCCCTGGAGGAAGCCCATGGAACGCCCAGCACGCAGGAGCAGGCCCGAGGGGCTGCGCCGACTAGAGCGGAGCTCAATGGAGGAAAGGACCTGCCAGGGAAGGAGGAAGAGAGATGGGAGGACTTCCTTCAAGGAGCAGAGAGCACACCCAAAGAAAGAAAAGGAGGTTGTGGGGAAGGAGCTGAAGAAACCCAGGTGAGCTGTGGTTCTGATCACGTGCTCCCCATCCACTGAGGACTTTGATCCTCCCCTGTTCCCCCTCCTTTGTGACAGCAGTGCTCCCCATCCACTGAGGACTTTGATCCTCCCCTGTTCCCCCTCCTTTGTGACAGCAGCCTTGCACTTGCTCCTGCTTCTCTCTGCCCTGCCTTGCACCAGGGTCACAGGTGGAATGGACATCTCTCACTCGGTGGACACCGTCATAAATGACACCTGTCACCTTGTGAGGAGGTGGCCTAAGCAGCATGGGACAGGATCGCAAGACCTCTGAATTTCAGCCACTGACTCAGCTCTGCTGTCCAACACAGGAGCTGAGAAAAACCATCTACTTCAGACTTGAGGATCACCCCCAAGGCTGAAGCACATCCCTTCCCCTACCCAAACCATTATTTTTCTTCTTGAAACCAGGAGTTGCTCTAAACTTCCCTGACTTCTGCCAGTTCTGAAATTCTAGGATTGGGGAATTTCACTGTTTTGTTTGTTTTTGTTCCACTAGTGCTAGTCCATGCTGGGTAATGGACAGAACCAGCTTAAATCTGCAGATCAGGGTTTTCAGTCCACTTTTGGGTGAACTGATTTTGTCTGTCACTCTCAATGGAAATAGTTTAGACCTTAGTTGATTCTCCTGTGGCAATGACTGGGGATGCTTTTGAAATAGTTTTGAGTGTTAGGATTATGACAAAGAGCTAGTGTTTCTTCTTCTGGTCTCTCTCCATCTCTGTTTCTAGCTCTCTGTCTCTGTCTGTCTGCTGTCTGTCTGCCTGTCTCTCCACATCCCTAGCACTGGGGTTTGAACTCAGGGCCTGGCACTTACTAGGCAATCCCATTACCACTTGAGCCATTTCTCCAACCTTTTTTAAAAGTTGATTTCGTTATTTTTCTTTAGGGCCAGTCTCACACAACAGTCTTTCCATCTATGCCTCCTGCACAGCTCTGGGATTACAAATGTATATCAACATGGCTGGCTTATTGGTCAACATGGTATCTCACTAACATTTTGCCCAAGCTACCCTCAGATCTCTACCCTCCTGACATCTGTCTCCTGAGGGATCCAATGTCATAGCCACAAGCTAAATGTAGCTGTTGCGTGCTTGAAGCAGTGTGTTCTCTCAGTGTGACTGATGAACTGAATTTCCACTTTAATTTATTTTGACATCATTTTAATTCAGTGTTGATACTATTGATGCAAGAGTGAGTTTATTTAACTTGGAAAGACAGATGTAGTTTTTAAATTGATTTGATTTGACTTTAAAGCCAAAACATGTCTTTTACAAAAAGATAATTTATCACTGAAGATGCAGACATCAGGAAAATGACATCTTGCCACATGATTCACTTATTGGGAAACTTTATATTGAAAACAATTTGCCTATGGGAATCCACTTTTTCAATACAACTTTATGAAATCCAAATACAGATCAAATATGGCCAATGGAAATTTAATGTCTGCGTTGACATAATCTCTAAGTACAAAGTGGATACCATATTTTGAAGATAGAACCAAAAAAAGACCAAACCATCTCAATGTATTTATTGAGCACATGTTCTAACTCTAATTTTGATCTGTTGGCTAAAATGAACTTTTTGCTGGAGGAGGGGGTGAGAGTATAGGTGCTAGTGCTGAGGCCTGAACTCAGGGCCTGAGCACTCTCCCTTTAGCTTTTTCACTCAAGGCTTTTTCACTCTAACACTTGAGCCACATCTCCACTTCCACTTTTTTTTTGTAGTTTATTGGAGATTAGAGTCTCACAGAATTCCCTGCCCGGGTTGGCTTTAAACCATGATGCTTAGATCTCAGCCTCCAGAGTAGCTAAGGGTAATAGGTGTGAGACACTGGTGCCTGGCTTGAAATGAGGTCATATTAATACTAGTTCTATCCATTTCTTGTTACTATTTAAATGTGGCTACTAGAAACTTTAAATTACAAGTGGCTCGCATTCTATTTCTCTTGGGCAGCACTGGTGTGGGAATGGAGAATTCAGAGAGAGAGAGAGAGAGTTGAAGGACACATCCTTGTGGTGTCATGGGCTATAGGATACAGCTTTGGCCTCACATGACAGGCAGTGGAGGTCTCTGGGGGCAGGAGCAGGCTCTGTCAGCCTAGTAAGAGTCAGGTTGTGAGCTCCTCCACGTTCAGACCTCATGAATCCCTTCCCCCCTCCTTTCTACCTCTCTGAGTCTTCCCCTGGCTCTACCCCTAGGTCATCTTCCTTGGTCTCCAGTACCTCTAGTGATGAGTCTCTATCTGAGGAAGAACTGGCCCGGATCCTAGAACAAGTGGAAGAAAAAAAGAAACTCATCGCCACCATGCGGAACAAGCCCTGGCCCATGGCAAAGAAGCTGACAGAACTCAGGTAAACAACAGTCACCTGAGCTCTCCATCCTGACCAACTCCGGTTCTCAGTGTCCACAGGGCTCAGCTCCTTCTGATGGGGATGGGATCCCTTCCTCCTCTTTATCTCAAGAGTACGTGACAACATGGAGATTCATCTCCCGACCCACCCCAGCGTAAGCACATGACACAGCACAGAAATCAGATGTACATGATGTTCCCCAGTGAAATCAGCATTCTCTTAGCATTCTTTCTGTATGCCCCCAGCCTCTCTCCATGTGCACCCCGCTCCCATAGGTGGTGAACTGTACAAGGAGTGGAAGGAAGGTCTATAGCCCAGTGCCTGGCCATGTGGGGAATGCTGCTCCATGAAGATGGTTCTGGAAATGATCATGCCACTTGCCTCTTACTTGCAACCCAGTGCTTCTCTGGTTTCCATAGGAAGGGATGGCATGCCAAGGAATTTATGATTGTTGGATCTCAAATGCAGTTCTGAAATGAGAACAGACTTTACACTGCATAAGCTTGGGCCCAGCCCAAGCTCGTCTATTTAAATTTAAATTTATTTAAGTATATAGGTGTTGATAGTTAATAATGGTGTGTTATATACTTGAAATTTTTTCAGAGTAGATATTAATGGCTCTCACTACAAAAAATTTCTAAGGTAATGCATAGTACCTAACTTAACTTTAGTTTGATTTAGCCATTACATACTTATCAAAATATCATGTTATATACCAAAAATAATTACATTTCTCAGTTGTCAATCAAAATAAGGTAGAAAAAGAATTTATAACCATAAGCGGTAACTTGTGCTTATAATCCTTGCTACTCTGGAGGCTGAGATCTGAGGATCATGGTTTGAAGCCAGACCAGACAGAAAAGTCCCCATGAGACTCTTATCTCCAATTAATCACCCAAAAACCAGAAGTAGCACTGTGGCTCAAGTGGTAGAGTGCTAGCCTTGAGCACAAAGAGGCTCGGGGACAGGGCCCAGGCCCTGAGTTAAAGCCCCACAACTGACCAAAAAAAAAAAAAGGAAAGAAAAGAAAAAGAAAAAAATTAATCAGGTGCTGATGCCTCACACCTGTAATCCTAGGTACTCAGGAAGCTGAGATTTGAGGACTGAGGTTTGAAGCCAGTCCAGGCAAACAAACCCAAGAGACTCTTATCTCCAATTAACCAAACAAAAGCTACAAGTGGAGGTGTAGCCCAAGTTAGTAGAGTACTAGCCTTGAGCAGAAAAAGCTAACCAAGAGCTTGGAGCCCTTAGTTTAAGCCCCAGTATTTAAAATGCAAATATTCCACGTGGCTAGCAGCTACAGGTTATAGGACAGGCTCAGCTCTAGGGAATGATCTGGCTTCTTTCCAGCCTCCTCCCAAGTTCCTTTACACCACTCTTTTCAGGCTGGTTCTTCTTCCTCTCAACAGGTCTGATCAGCCACCTGTCACTCTCACACGTCCTTACCTTCCCTCAGGTGTCACCTGAACACATCTTTTATTAACAGTGGAAAAAGAAAACCACAGATGCTTGTTGGAATGAGATCTTCAGCTGGCTGGAAGTCTGGGCAACCAGCAGAAGGCTGCCCAGAGGGGACATTTGCATGTGTGCTTGCCTCTAAGGGCAGAGTCCCTGCTGGTAGGGACTGCTGGTAAGGTAGGCAGTGACTAAGGCCTAGGAAGCAGAAGAAACCATGATGTCTCCCTTACTGAGACATCTCTCTCCATCAAATAGTGGGTTTCTTTCCTTCACACCTCCCTTCTTCCTTGCCCTTTTTCTTTCCTTCCCCAAGAAGACTCAGTGTAGGCTCAAGTTTAAGGCTCCCCAGTCTCTGGGTCACCATTCAACCAGGCTCTGCCCCAAAAACCTTTGCTTTCTGGGAAGTTCATCTGGCTAATTCCCACACACCCAGTAAGACTGGGGCCAAAGTCCCTTCCTTACAGAAGTCCCCATTCAGACTCAGCTGTATTTTGTTCCCCTGATCCCCAAAGCTCTATCCTCTCACCCAACAACAGAGCTGTGTGTTATTTACCATTTAACAGTGTTCCTCTTTTATAAATGGTTCCCATTGGCTGAGTGCTTTCCAGGGACCAAGCACTGTTCTGAATGTAGCATGTATGAGTGCAGCCCATTTAAACCAATGAAGGTACCATTATCATCTCCATCCCACTAATGAGGAAAGGGAGGTGACAAGTTTAGTGGCCAGCTGGGATTTGGGCTTGGGAATTTTGGCTCCAGAACCCATATGTTCACTTATAATCACCTCTCCAGAATGGCCAGGTATTCTAGAATGCACCCCTTTGCCTGCTCTATGATTTCATCCTCTGGCAGTTGTCTTCAGCTGCAGGTAGCTTTCCCAGACTACATCCTCCATTTTAGAGGAAAAGTTTTTGTTGTTTTTTGTTTGTTTGTTTGCCAGTCCTGGGCCTTGAACTCAGGGCCTAGGCACTGTCCCTGAGCTTTTGCTAACACTCTACCACTTGAGCCACAGTATGAGTTCTGGATTTTTCTGTTTAAGAAGTATTGAAGAATCAAACCGGGGCTTCATTCATGTTAAGCAAGCACTCTACCACTAAACCACATTCCCAACCTAGAAGCAAAGTTTTAGAAAACAGCCCAACCATGCAGCTGGTTAACTCAAGTATAATAACTGTAGACTCTAAGAAGAATAGCAAGGCAAGAAAAGCAATTGCAGTGAATTAGAGCAAATCTAAGAATATGCCTTTGCCTCATCCAAGTGGCTTTGGCTGCTCCTCAATCTCTTGGGCTAGTTTCCTTCCTTGGGCCTCTCTAAGCCTCATGTTCCTCATTGGTACAGATGTGGAAAATAAATACCTCACAGGGTTATTCTATAAATTCAGAACTATTCATGTAAGTGCTTTAACATAGACTATGAAGTTGATAAAGAGTAATTATTGCTGTTATCAAGACTTGAGCATCTTCTATGCCAGATTTTATGCTGGCTGCTGAGAGATGAGGTTGGGCATCAGAACAGCACACAGACCTGATTAACAATGAGGTAGGAAGTGATATTGCTGTAAGAATTAGGGTCCATCGGGGCTGAGAAGGTGGCTCAGTGGTAGAGCGCTTGCCTTGCATGCATGAGGCCCTGGGTTCGATTCCTCAGCACCACATAAGCAGAAAAAAAAAGCCAGAAGTGGTGCTATGGCTCAAGTGGTAGAGCGCTAGCCTTGCGCTGAAGAGCTGAGGGACAGCGCCCAGGCCCAGAGTTCAGACCCCACGACCGGACCCAAAAAAAAAAAAAAAGAATGAGGGTCCATGAGTTGGAGATACTGCTTTCCTCACTGTCAGGTGAGACAATTGCCTTTGTTAGAAGCTTGATATCTCAGAAGGTTATCCAGACTCTGTCTTCAGAGTGAGCAAAAAATGTCTACCTCTAGAAAGACAGAGTTTACATACTTTTCCTCTGTTCTTCCCATTACAACTGAAACCCTAGATGTTACACATAAGGCTAACAAAAGGAGATTTGGTGGAGAGAAGGTAGCAAATTGGTTAAGAATGGCAGGGCATTGAGTTCCTTGGGTTTTCTTTTTGTCTTCTGTATCTCAGACTGGACACTGGAGAAGCTGGCAACCTTAATGTATTAGCTGGGCTGTGGTTCCCATCTAGGGTTTGAAGTCCTCTTGCATGCCAACTGGCTGCTGCCCCTCCCATACTGTGCAGAGAGGTCCCCTCCAGAAGAGCCTGGGCAACAGAGGGTTAAGAATTTCCTTGTTTAGTTTAGAAGTAAAGCTGTGGTTCAAAGTGGGAGAGTGCTAGCCTTGAGCCAATAAAGCTCAGGGATAGAGCAGAGGATGATGATGATGATGATGATGATGATGATGATGATGATGGTGATAATAATAATAATAATAGGGCTGGGAAGGTGGCTCAGTGGTAGAGCGCTTGCCTTGCATGCTTGAGGCCCTGGGTTCGATTCCTCAGCACCACATAAGCAAAAAGAAAAAAGCCGGAAGTGGCGCTGTGGCTCAAGTGGTAGAGCGCTAGCCTTGAGCTGAAGAGCTGAGGGACAGTGCCCACGCCCAGAGTTCAGGCCCCACGACCGGACCAAAAAAAAAAAAATAATAATAATAAATGGAGACTCAGGAAGTTCATTAAAAAAGAAAAAAAAGAATTTCCCTGCTTCTCACTTCTCAGACATCTCTCTCTCTGCCACATCTGCCCTCTTTTCCCTGCTTTGTATGTTTTAAAAGCTCATATAATTACATTGGGCCCATTCAGATAATCACAATAATCCCTCTATTTTAAAGTCAGGAATACACAATACACACACACACACACACACACACACACACACAAATACATAAATATAAGCTGGGCTCTGGTAGCTCATACATATACTCCTGGCTACTCAGGAGGCTGAGATCTGAGGATGGTGTGGTTCAAAGCCAGCCTGGGCAGGAAAGTTATGAGACTCTTATCTCCAATTAACCACCAGAAAACCAGAAGTGGCACTGTGGCTCAAGTGGCAGAGCCCTAGCCTTGAACTGAAGAGCTCAGGGACAGTGCTTAGGCCCAGAGTTCAAGCTTATAGCCTGCACTGGGTCTTGAACTCAGAGCTTCAAGTTCTTATTTGGCTTTTCCATTCAGGGCTGGCACTCTACCATGTGAAACACATCTCCACTTTCATCTTTTTTTGGGGGGGTCCAGTCATGGGGCCTGAACTGTGGGCCTGGGCGCTGTACCTCAGCTCTTCAGCTCAAGGCTAGCGCTCTACCACTTAAGCCACAGCGCCACTTCCGGCTTTTTTTTCTTTTTGCTTATGTGGTGCTGAGGAATCAAACCCAGGGCCTCAGGCATGCAAGGCAAGTGCTCTACCACTGAGCCACCTTCCCAGCCCTTCCACTTCCATCTTTTTGCTAGTTAATTGGAAATGAGAGTTTCATAGGCTGGGTGTTGGTGGCTCAGGTCTATAATCTTACCTACCCAGGAGGCTGAGATCTGAAGATCACAGTTCAAGGCCAGCTCAGGCAAGAAAGTCCATAGACTCTTTTCTCCAATAAACTACTCAGAGAAAGCCAAAAGTAATGTTGTGGCTCGAGGCTCAGGGACAGCACCCAGGCCCTATGTTCAAGCCCCAGGATCTACTTTGAAGAAAAAGTCTCGTAGACTTTCCTGCCCAGGCTGGCTTTGAAGCATAATCATCAGCCCCCTGAGTAGTTAGGATTACAGGCATGAGCCAGGGGTACCCAACTAAAGAGTTTTAATTACATCTTCCATGTCTTTTTACATGTAATAATTTATTCACAGTTGGACCATGAAAGGGCAAAGAGCTAGGAGAACAATGACAAAATACTGCCCACCACAAGTATCTTCTATACACAAATATTATTCTTGGCACTCAGAAATGTCAAGAGACTCAACAGACAAAATGCCCTGCCATCATGGAATTTCTGTCCTAATTACAGCTATAAACACATTCAGGCTTTCAACCTCATGCAAGTCCTTGTGGCTGAGATTTCCTTGAATCGGGTGCTAATTGAATTCCTGCTCATTTTTTCGCCTGCCCAGGGAGGCCCAAGCATTTGTGGAGAACTATGAAGGAGCCTTGGGAAAGGGGAAAGGCAAGAGGCTCTATGCCTACAGGATGCAGATGGCGAAGGTTAGTGCTGTAAGGAAGCAAACCCCAAGGAGGGCCTACTTCATGAGAGGGAGGATATTTTCAGTAGTTTTTATTGCTGTGTGTGCATGTCTATCTGGGTCTGTGTTGTTTGCGCTGGTCCTGGAGCTTGAACTCAGGGCATAGGTGCTGTCCCTGAGCTTATTTTGCCCAAGGCTAGTGCTTCACCACTTGAGCCACAAGTCCATTTCTGACTTTTTGGTGGATATTGGAGATAAGAGTCTCCTGGGCTTTCCTGCCCACTCTGGCTTCACACCATGATCCTTACATACCAGCCTCCTGAGCAGCTAGGATTACAGGCATCAGCTACAAGCACTTAGCTTTTCTGTATATTTTTTCAAATGGAATCGTGTAGCTTTTTCTCTCTAGGATGGCCTTGAAGTTCAGTTCTCCAGATCTTGTCTTCCTTAGTCGGTTGTATTACAGATGTGAGCCACCAACACCTAGCTCCTTATCATCATTACCAAAAAAAAAATGTGGGCGGGTGGGGTGGGTGTGGGTGTGTGAATGTTTCTGCCAGCACTGGGGCTTGAACTCAGGGACTTACATACTCTTGATTGGATTTTTTTGCTTAAGGTTAGTGCTCTACCAATTGAAACAGACCTGTACTTCTGACATTTTGCTCATTAACAGAGATAAGAATCTCTTGGATTTGCCTGCCGAGGCTGAGGATCCCAACTTGGGATCCTCAGATCTCAATCTCCTGAGTGGGTAGAATTACTCTTCTCTCCAATTAACCACCAAAAAGCCACAAGTAGAGGTGTGGCTCAAACAAATAACCTTGAACAGAAAAAGCCAAGCAGCTCATGTAATTGTAACCCCTCTGTACGGTATGTTCACAATAAAAAAGAAAAAGAACAAGAAAAAGCCAAGCAGTGAGCACTAGGCCCTGAGTTTAAGTCCCCAAATCAGCATGCATGTGCATGCACTTACACACACACACATACAGAGAGAGAGAGAGAGAGAGAGAGAGAGAGATTTGTGTGTCAAATTAACATCTAGTTCTTTTATTGTACCTCCTTTTTATCTGGGAATGCTGGGGATTGAGCCTCAGTCCTCCTACATAGTAGGCAAGTATTCTGTCGCTGCCCTACATCCTCCCAACCCCTTGCACTGTCTTATTAATGCCAAGTTGTTCTAGTTTTATCTGATTATGTATATAAAGATGTTTTTGTAGGGTTCTTCTGAATGTGATATCTCATTCCTACCCTAAAGTGTGGATTAGTAATTCTAAGACAGCTTCCATGGACAGCAGTGATTATGGACTTCATGATCTTCTCACTACTTCAGTGAGAAAGACTATAGCACTTCACATTGTGTTTATAAGAGTTATCAGCTCCAATAGACTTACTCAGGATGAGAAATTATCTTCTAGTTATAGTTTATTAAGACTTCCATTTTTATTATATTATATTTTTATTAAACACTTTTCCTTGTTATGAAACCTCTTTCTTCTGAGATATTAGTTGCAGTAAATTATTTTTAATACCACGGATATATTTTGGTATTATGGTATTTTGTTTATTGTTTGTTTGTTTGTTTGTTTTTGTCAGTTATGGGCCTGAACTCTGGCCCTGGGCACTGTCTCTGAGCTTCTTTTACTCAAGGCTAGCACTCTAACACTTGAGCCACAGTGCCACTTCCAGCTTTTTCTGTGTTTGTGGTGCTGAGGAATCAAACCCAGGGCCTCATGCATGCAAGGCAAGCACTATACCACTGAGCCACCTTCCCAGCCCCTATAGTATTTTATGTAAGTTTTCATAAGATTGATCTAAATGTGTGTGTGTGTGTGTGTGTGTGTGTGTGTGTGTGTGTATGTGTGTGCATGTGCCCATGCATGCTGTCTTGGATGGATTTGAGTCAACCACCACTTGAAACCTGTTCCCTACATGTAGCTAGAGCACAAGATGACATGAGTACTGACAGCTCAGTCCCAGGGCCAACTGCCCCATCTCATACAGTCCTGAGGCAGGGACTTGGGGGTCTTCTGCCCTTGCCACCCAATCTAATTTTCTGAGCTGAACCAATAAAGAGCAAGAGTTTCAATGGTCAGCTTCTCCCAGGCCCCCGGCATCATTTGCCATCTAATATGTCTACAGCCTTGAGGAACTGTCAGGTGGTTGGTTACCAAGGGACCTATGAGCAGGCTGCGCCATCTGGCTGCATCCATTGCCTCTGTGTGATCCCAGCCTTTGCATGTCTACATATTTCATACTGATTGTATCAGCATCCTGACATGAGATCAATCTCTCAAGGGACAACTCACATGAATAAAGATTATGAAACTGATATATAAAACCAGATACTGAATTATTCATTTATAAGGAGAAATGACTGGTGCAAGTGCCAGAAAATTCAAAGTCCACATCAGCAATGTTTTTCATGTTGGCTAGTTGAATTAGTTCTATGGAAAGCTAAACCATTATCTCAACTGCAATCTATTAATGAAAGTCACTGCCATACAAGCCAAAATACACACAGCCCAGGACATCACAAAATGCTCGTGTTATGCAGAGCTAATAGGAAGATGAATAAGCAAAAGATTATTTTTGAGGACAGAATCAGAACCAGGGATGGGGGATTAAGCTGTGGGGCTATAGCAGCCCAAGGCCATCATCACCTGCCATTCAGATTTTTGTATTCAGCCTTCTGCTTGTGAACCTCTCACCTCTTCTGTATCTACAACCATATCATAATCATTCTACCAGCTTGTGCTGGAAACCACAGGTGGAAAGCCAGGTCTGGAGCCTGCCTGCTGCCTTCACATAATCCTTTCACCCTTTACTATATTTACAAGGGAAATAAAATCTCATCTCCTGCATAAGTAAGTTTTTAGGAGACATTTTAATAATAGCAACAACAACTACAATTTCAGGATCTGTTCTCTCCTATCTTCTAATCTTCTGTTTTCTAAGACTTTTTTTAAAATTCCAAGTGGATTTAATCCAGAAACAGGGATTATGGACAGCATCTCCTGGAACGATCGAAAGAATATCCCATCAAATAAGATGCCTCCATTTCCAGTTGATATAAACTCTACATATTAAACTGTAGACCGATCCGTGTGCTTTCATCTGCATTCTCTCATTGTAACAAACACCTGAGATAATTGACTTATGAAGAGAAACATTAGTTAGACTAGCATTTTTTGAGATTCTAGTCCATGAGCAGCGCATCATGGTTGGATCATATAGCAGAGCAAAATAGTCACTCATGGCCAGAATGCAAAAAGAGAGGACAAAGGCCAGGTATGGTGGCTTTTACCTGTAATCCCAACAATTGAGAAGCCTAGGCAGAAGAATCTTGAATGTCAGGCTAGCCTGAGTTACATAATAAGATCCTGTCTTGGGGGAAGGAGGGAAGGATTAGAGGAGTAGCTAGAGTTTCATTATTCCCTTCAAAGGAACATCCCCAGATGGGTGCCATTGGCTCACACCTGTAATTCTAGTTACTTAGGAGGCTGAGATCTGAGGATCACAGTTCAAAGCCAACCCAGGCAGGAAAGTCCATGAGACTTTTATCTCCAATTAATCACAGAAAAAGCCAGAAGTGGGGCTGGGAAGGTGGCTCAGTGGTAGAGCGAGTGCCTTGCACACATGGGGCCCTGGGTTCAATTCCCCAGCACCACATAAGCAAAAAGAAAAAAAGCCGGAAGTGGCGCTGTGGCTCAAGTGGTTGAGTGCTAGCCTTGAGCTGAAGAGCTGAGGGACAGCACCCAGGCCCAGAGTTCAGGCCCCACGACAGGACCCCCCCCCCCAAAAAAAAAGAAAAGAAAAAGAAAAAGCCAGAAGTGGCACTGTGGTCCAAGTGGCAGAGTGCTAGCCTTGAGCAAAAGGAGCTCAGGGACAGTACCCAGGCTCTAAGTTCAAGCCCTGAGACTAGCAAAAAAAAGGAACACCCCCCAATGAGCTGAAGATCTCTCACTACATAATACCTTTTTTTTTGGGGGGGGGTCATGGGCTTGAACTCATGGGTGCTATCCCTGAGCTCTTCAGCTCAAGGCTAGTGCTCTACCACTTGAGCCACAGCGCCACTTCCAGTTTTCTGAGTGGTTTATTTGAGATAAGAGTCTCACAATCTTTCCTGCTTGGGCTGGCTTTGAACTACGATACTCAGATCTCAGCTTCCTAAGTAGCTAGGATTATAGATGTGAGCCACCTACACAGTACCTTTTAAAGATCTCACAACCTCCAAATAGCACAACGCTAGAGAAACAAGCCTTTAACATGTGAGCCTTTTGAGGCTATCCCAGATCCAAATTATAGCATGGTAGGAGGGGGGAAATACCGTCTTTATTTCGTTCATAAAAACAAAGCTGTTGGTTAGTTCCTTGGGAGAAGAATGAGAAGCCAAGGGCTGAGATCAGTTTACTATTTCCACCAGCCTTATAGTTTAGCACCAATTCTTACAAGACGTAGGTATGTGTCTGCCTGCCAGGTATGAATATAAGACTTGTGAAATCTTTTTCCCTTGAATTTTTGTTTTAAGATGAAGAAAATTGTATTAGAAGTTGCTAACCAGATTCAACACCCTGTGCACAAAATTTCTAGGTTTGTATGTAAACTGTCCAAACCTGAGGTATCCTCAGCACTAGAGACCAATAGAAGGCATTGCTGTTGCTCTGGCATTTCTCTCACACCACCCCTCACTTTGAGGAAGCAAGAGTTTGTGAGCCCAGACTCAAGGTTGCACGAGATGAAGACTCCAAGATGGCACCCACAGCCACCCACAGGTCAACCGCACATTGACTTGATACCAGCAGCATGTCCCCTGGACGTGCCTCCTTGTACTCCAGCTCCATATGTTAGTTACTGAGTGTTTTACTTGTTTCATTTCAGAAATGGGTCAAGTTTAAGAGAGACTTTGATAATTTCAAGACTCAATGTATCCCCTGGGAAATGAAGATCAAAGACATTGAAAGTGAGTTCTTTTAGTGTCCTCCTATAGTTGATTTCCCCAAGGATCTGGAATGTGGACTGACCTTTATATTGGATTGTTTCATAGCTTCTGTTGGCGTAGGGAAGGAAAGAACTTCCTAGAGTAGTTTGAGACTAGAAAGAACAAGGTTTTAACTGAGCTTCCTCCCTGTCTGGCTGTGGATGCTGTGGCAGGTCTGTTGACCCTCACAGAGTCTCAGGTTTATTTATTCACTAAAAGGAAATGGAGGTCAGGCTATCTAGTCTCACACCAATGTGAAACTTGAGTCTAAAACGCGCACAAAATACTCAATGGAGTCGATGTTCTCTATCCGCACACTTAGATCTTTATCTTTTCCCTCTCCAGGTCATTTTGGTTCTTCCGTGGCATCCTATTTCATCTTCCTCCGGTGGATGTATGGAGTCAACCTTGTCCTTTTTGGTTTAATATTTGGTCTAGTAATAATTCCAGAGGTAAAAAAACAGAACTTGCTATTCTTGTCTTCACAGGGGGGAAATGTCTTTCCTAAATGAATATATAAATTTAAGCCAATTCTGACTTTCTGCATCAATGAGGATGTGAATAAGGGCAGGTATATGAGGATACTCAGGCAGAGCAGGAAATGCTCTATTGTCCAGCAATAGAGCAAGAAAGCCAGAAGTAGAACTGTGGCTCAAGTGGTGGAACACTAGCCTTGAGCACAAAGGCTCAGGGACAGCACCCTAGGGTGCTGATTGAGGAGATACATGCAGAATTAAACAATAGGGAATTGGTCAAGTGCTTTATGGTACATGCATGCATGATTATATACTTTTGGAGTCTTTTTTGGGGGGGGTCCGGTCGTGGGGCCTGAACTCTGAGCCTGGGCGCTGTCCCTCAGCTCTTCAGCTCAAGGCTAGCGCTCTACCACTTGAGCCACAGCGCCACTTTCGGCTTTTTTCTTTTTGCTTATGTGGTGCTGAGGAATTGAACACAGGGCCTCAGGCATGCAAGGCAAGCACTCTACCACTGAGCCACCTTCCCAGCCCCTGGAGTCATTTTTATTATGTCTTATGACATAGGAAATTGATCATAATATTAAGCTAAATACCAGACTAAAAGATGTATAGAACTCAGATAACTTTAATGAAATGTATCATTGACAGGCAATCTTTGTCAATAGGTAATATGTAATTTTTTTTCCCAGTCCTAGGGCTTGAACTCTGGGCTTTGGTGCTGTCCCTGAGGGTTTTTGTTTTGTTTTGTTTTGTTTCCCAAGGCTAGCACTCTATCACTTGAGCCACAGCTCTACTTCTGGCTTTTTGGAGATAGTCTTGCAGACTTTCCTGCCCAAGCTGGCTCAATCCTCAAATCTCAGCCTTCTGAGTACATAGGATTACAGGTGTGAGCGCTGGTGCCTAGTTTATATATATATTTTAAATGCTCTTCTGTATATTTTCTATAATGTGTATTTCATTTTTAATGAGGAAAAATGATTCATGTCATTTAAAGAGGAAAACAGTTGTCCCCTGCTCTGAGAGGAAGTGTCTGACCCAGTCTCTACACATCTCTGTGTGTTCCTATTTTCTCATTTGTGCTCTTGTCCCTCTTGGTCACCAGGTGCTGATGGGCGTGCCCTATGGAAGTATCCCCAGGAAGACTGTGCCTCGGGCTGAGGAAGCAAAAGCCATGGACTTCTCTGTCCTTTGGGATTTTGAAGTATTATCAACAACACACCAATGAACTTCCATTTTGTGTTTGGAAGGCCCAGGGTTGCCTAGAGATACCTGCAATGATTCATTTAGTTATTGAAAAACTAGTGCTTTCATCAAATAGGATCCCAGAGTTAGATAAAGTGCTTTTCCTATAGTTCTCGTTATATCCAGAGAGCTGTGGGAACTTTCTCCCTCATCTCCTTGCCTATACATAGCCCTTAAAATCCCCATTCCCTCTGCTCCCAGAGCAGACTGGCCCTGTCACTTTCCTACCTCAGATATTCATTCCTTTCCACTCCCAAATGGAAGGACTGCCAGTCGCAACCCACTACCTGGCAGCTCCCTTTTCTCTAGCCCTGTGTTGTGTGTGTGTGTGTGTGTGTGTGTGTGTGTGTGTGTGTGTGTGTGTGTGTGTGTGTAGGTACTGGGGCTTGAACTCAAGCCCTGTCCCTGACCTTTTCTGCTCAAGGATGGCACTCTATCCATTGAGCCACAGCTCCACTTCTGGCTCTTTTGGTGGCTAATTGGAGATAAGAGTCTCTCTCATAGGCTGTCCTGTCTTAGCTGGCTATAAACCACATTCCTTAAATCTCAGCCTCCTGAGTAGTTAGGGTTACAGGCATCATGTTCAGGTCTTGGGAGGAGAAACAATTGGAAGCATTACATGCTTGTGTGGGCACACACATGCATACAACCTTTATCCCCCAATTTCATTGTGAAGCTCACAATACTCTCCCCTCCCTCCTGTACTCTGTGTGACAGGGAAATGTGAAGAAAGGGAGGGGTGGACTCTGGAGTCACTAGGGGAGTAAAAGGAAGAGCAAGAACAACCAGAACTCTTCCTTGGGCCCCTTAGACTCGGTTAAAACTCAGAGCCCCAAATCTCTGGTGGAATGGAAGTGTCTGATGACCCTCTGCTCTGAACTTACAAACCCTGAACATTTGCATTTACTGTCCCACAGGGCTACATCAAATATTCTGCACTCTTCTATGGCTACTACAACAACCAGAGGACCATTGGGTGGCTAAGGTACAGACTGCCCATGGCTTACTTTATGGTGGGGGTCAGCATGTTCGGCTACAGCCTGATGATTGTCATTAGATCGTAAGTATGACTGTCTCCTAAACAGATGTTGGCTTTTTAATCACATAAACAATCCTTCATTAGGTCTCACTGTGGCTACTTACTTTCTAATGGTGCACTTAGAAAAAAACCATGGAAACAAATACACAAAGCAAATGCAGGTTATCAAGTGTGGGTATAAAAGTTGTAAGCCAGGTAATATGGAAAGTTCTTGGAAATGCCGCGTAGAAACACCTTTAGATGAGGCTGAGAATTGTCGGCCATGCTGAAAGCCTGAAGTGCAGAATTTTGGACAGAGGAAGAGCATGCTCAAAGCACCTGAGGCAACAAACATCCCTGTGTGTCCCCAGACTGTCAAATGTCCAAAACAGCTTGAGAGGGAGCATTGTCTCTGGGAAAGTGAGGCTCCAGCCAGCTTTGCAAGGCTTGTTTCTGTTTTTCTCTAGCACTTGGATCTAAGCCTAGCACTTAAAAAGATAAAACAATTAATTTAAACTAAATAGGCACATCTGTGGTGGATCACCACAGCCTCTCTAGCCCAGGATCCGCCTGTCACTGTGGTGGTCAGAAATGACCTTTTAATATGACTGTGTCTTTTAATTCATACTCTTAGAAAAAAAAATGGCCAAGCTCATAAATTACCTTCATAAGGGTCAGGAGACCCATCCAACCATTGCTAAGAGTTTGTGGTGTGAGAGTTATGATACCCTGCAGAACACTGACCACCAGGAGAAGAACCATAGGGGTCCTCCATTCCCAGGGTAGCATGGGTGGCTGTGTCTCCTGAGCACTCTCAGAGCCTGATTCGAATCCCAGAAAGGGAGATGGGGGAGCTTGACTAGGCTTTCTGCTGTATCCTCCCTCAAGGAGAGAGTACTGCTGCTCACAAGAAAGACCCTGCCCAGTACTCAACCATGAGCATGAGGTGCTATCAATTCACTTAGCACCATAAATTAAAGAGAAAGGGCTGGGAAGGTGGCTCAGTGGTAGAGTCCTTCCTTGTATGCATGAGGCCCTGGGTTCAATTCCTCAGCACCACATAAGCAGGAAAAGTTGAACTTCTGACTTTGGCTCAATTGGTAGCAATTGGTAGAGCACTAGCCTTGGGCTAAAGAACTGAGGGACAGTGTCCAGGCCCAGAGTCCAAGCCCCACAACCAACAAAAACTAAAAAATAAAAGAGAAAGAACAAGAAGAAGGCTTGGTTTTATTTCTTGGCCCTCATGTGTTTTGGGTTTTTTTTTTGCCTACTTTGATCCTTCATAAGCAGAGAGATAGAAAATGTTTTTATGACTGACTAAAAAAGCTAAGTCCTACAGGACAGCAAATACAAAAAGCCAAAAGGTAAAAAGAAATGAGGGAGGAACACTAAATCCCCTACAGTATCAACAAAGCCCTTGCTTGGAATGCTGTGATGCCCACAGCTACACAGGACTGAACTCCCAGGAGAATGGAGAGGTAGGATGAAACAGGTATATAACAAGGAAGGTTCAAGCTTCTTCAAGCCAAGCTTGCCTTAGAAAAGGATGTGTTTCCTGATGGCCATATCAACCTCTCCAGGGGTTACTAGGTTTTATATCAGAGAGAAATAGATCCAAGAAAATAGATGATTTGAGAGGAGAGATCCCTTATAGAACTGGCAAATGTATTTGCAGGTAACCCAAGCCACAGGAAATCAAGTGGTATGGTGGAGGACAAGGGCCCTGAAGCCCATGGGCTCCTTGTGGTCCAATTGAAGCCATGTGTGTTTTCAGGAGACTCTGAATTTGGTGGTGGAGGGAAGGGCAAGTGCTCTGGATCTGGTTCAAGTTCTTCTCTGGCTTATTCCCTCATTAGATGTCTAATACCTTGCCCACAATGTAGGCCAAGGTTTTCTCGGGGTAATGTAGCAGAAATAGGACAGGCATGCTGACAGGGCTTTGTTCCGTCCAGGATGGCCAGCAACACCCAGGGGAGCACAGGTGAGGGAGAGAATGATAACTTCACCTTCAGTTTCAAAATGTTCACCAGCTGGGACTACCTGATTGGGAATTCAGAGACAGCTGACAACAAATATGCCTCCATCACTACCAGCTTCAAGGTAGTCACCCCAAAGTAGTTCCCACTTCTCTAAGGGGCAGGGGATCTCTTCTCAGGGCACAGGGCATTCCATCACCCCTCTGTTATTTATTTCTGAAAATACAAGGAAGTAGTATTCTCAGAAACCCAACAAGCATGGTTCTTGTTGCTTCCTGGCCTGATATTAGTCACATCTCCTTTGCACACACTAAGGAATCAATAGTGGATGAACAAGAGAGTAACAAAGAAGAAAATGTCCATCTGACAAGATTCCTTCGTGTCCTGGCCAACTTTCTCATCATCTGCTGCTTGTGTGGGAGTGGATACCTCATTTACTTTGTGGTGAAGCGATCCCAGGAATTTTCCAAAATGCAGAACGTCAGCTGGTATGAAAGGAACGAGGTAAGGAGGATGTCACTGGTGGAGGGCAAATGCTGGAATCGCTGGGTTTTGTGCCATTCAGAAGAGTTCCTGGAAGTTTGTATTATAGAACTTGTTATAAAATGTAAAATCATATCACTTTCAATTAGCATGAAATCTTGAACTGAGAATCATCTGTTATTAGACGTTTAGAACCGAGATTTATAACTACATAAAACTGGAATATAACGTGTCAATCAGCTAGGTAGCCAGTTGTCCTAATACCAATTATTTTAAAAGATGATTCTTCAGCCCAGGGCAAATGGCTCAGACTTGTAATCCTAGCTACTCAGAAGGCTGAGATCTGAGAATCAAGATTTTAAGACAGTCAGGTAGAAAAATCCATGGGACTATTATCTCCAATTAACCACCAAAAAGTAGAAGTAGAGGTATGGCTCAAGTGATAAAGCACCTGTATTGAGAGAAAAAGCTAAGTGAGAGCTCAAGGCCCTGAGTTCAAGCCTCAGTACACACACACACACACACACACACACACACACACACACACACACACACTTTAGGTCCAAATGCCAAAGTCTTAACCACACTTCTAACTATTACTGTTGGTTCTTTTTTTTTTTTTTTTTTGCCAGTTCTGGAGCTTGAACTCATGGCCTGGACACTGTCCCTGAGCTTCTTTTGCTCAAGGCTAGCACTCTACCACTTGAGCCACAGCACCATTCCTGGCTTTTTCTGTTGATGTGGTACTGAGGAATTGAACCCAGGGCTTCATGCATGCTAGGCAAGCACTGAACCACCAAGCCACATTCCTAGCCCCTGTTGGTTCCTTTCTATGACCTAATTTTCCTGTCTTCAATCCTCTTGAGTTGAGGGCTATCCAGGTGATTCCTGTCTAACTCACAACTTTTATAGAACACCAAGCACTACCCCATATGTGAACTCACTTGCTTCTCGAGGAAAGTTTGCTTTTTAAGTCAATGTTAATCGCAACAATCAGGAGAGCAGCCAGTACCCTAGGAATTATGATGTGTGGGCATGGGCTGACTGTTCAGGGTTATGCTTGATGGCTTAGCTAAGGCCACATAGAAAGATGGGAAAGCCCAAAGGCATCTCTAGGGACCAAAGAGGGGTATCAGGGAGAGGGATGGCCATGGGGTACAGGAATGGGGGCCAAGCAAGGTAGACTCAATAACATAAATAACCCAGGCTTTCTGGATTTCTCAGGTGGAGATTGTGATGTCCCTACTTGGGATGTTTTGCCCTCCTCTGTTCGAAACCATCGCTGCCTTGGAGAATTACCACCCACGCATCGGGTTGAAGTGGCAGCTGGGGCGCATCTTTGCCCTCTTCCTGGGAAATCTATACACATTTCTTTTGGCCCTGATGGATGATGTCCACCTCAAGGTAAAAACCATAAGCTCCACCAGTGCCTGCTACCTACTGCATTCCCTTTTGAAGTAAAGTATTTTTCACTATGCATAACTTAATGCAATAAATGTTGGAAGTTTAGAAAAGGAAAATGAAGAATGACCACAGATGCCAGTATTTTGTTGTGATTCTTTCCTGATTTTTTCCCTTAGGTTATCCTTATTTTTTTCATGTTACTTGGCATCGGTAATATTTTATCTGCACCCCTTTCTATATTGTGATTTAAGCGATATCCTGTAAAGGTGATATGCCCTCATTGATTTTGTGGCCCACCAAGGCTCCCCAAAGTTGTGGAGTGTCCACTAGGTAAGGTCCTCAGCACAGCAGACCTGTAGGAAGATGTAGTCCTGTTCCAAGAGCATTCATGCTCTGGGGTGGGAGACAGACTCATTCATTACAGCATGGTATGGGCTGTGCTGTGTTGAGAACAAGCCCAGGGCAGCATGGAAATGCATCAGAAGTGGTCTAGGCTGTCACCTTCAGGAATCTTACCAGGGGGAACCGCTGGTGCCACAGGGGTGTTGAGGATGGCTAGAGAATGGAGTGGAGGGAAAGAAGTGAGAAATTAGACTGGAGGGTAGAGGGCCAGATGATATACACTCCCCAACCCTCTGTCCTCATTATTGCACTAAAGGAACTGTTTCTTGCTATTAACAGGAAACTGTTGGAAGGGTCTAAGTGTCAGCTTGACTGCATGTGGCCTTTTTCCTCATTCTGTTCCTTCCTTTCTACCCCAAGTCTGTCCCATACTCCTGAGCCACACATTGTCTCCATGGGGCAAAGTTCTCTCTTGTTTCCTGTGACTACTTAACTGATCCTTCCTGAGTTGTGTGTGGCCAAATGTCACTGCCTCCAGTAAGTCTCTGTGTACACCCACTATCTAACATGGATATTCTTCAGCCTCCAGAGAAAGCTTCCCACAGCTTGGATCATTCTGTTCTATAATTGTCTTTCTGTTCATCCTGGTTGTTTATGAGACTGTGAACTTCCCAATAGAAACTTCATCTCTCTTGATCACCACTGCCTAGTATGCCCAAAATAGACCTGGAATAAATTATTTTCAAAAAGTAATGAATGAGCCGGGTGCCAGTGGCTCACGCCTATAAACCTAGTAATCAGGAGACTGAGATCTGAGGATGGAAGTTCAAAGTCAGCCTGGGCAGGAAAGTCTTATCTCCAATAAACCACTTGAAAACTGGGAGTGGCGCTGTGGCTCAAGCGGTAGAGTGCTCGCCTTGAGCTGAAGATCTGAGGGACAACGCCCAAGCCTGGAGTTCAAGCCCTATGACTGACAAAAACAAAAACAAAAAAGTAATGAATGACTGGATGGATGGATGAATGTTGGATGGATGGATGAATGGGTATGGGGGTGGATGGATAGGTGGGTATGTGGGTAGATGGATGGGTGGATGGATGGAGAGATGGTTAGGTAGATTTATGCTTACTTAGAGAAGATAATGAGCTAACAGTGAAGAGCCAAGGAATTGAAAGCCTAGAAAGAATATTTTTGAAGAGACTGTCCAGGAACAGGGTCCAGATGGCAGGATTACAGCATTTGCTAATTTAATTGCTCCTGTGGAAAGAGTTGAACCATTACTGGCTCCTTCCAACCCCACATCTCCATCTTCTGTTCTAGCTTGCTAATGAAGAAACAATAAAGAACATCACTCACTGGACCCTGTTTAACTATTACAATTCCTCAGGTTGGAATGACAGTGTCCCCCGGCCACCCTTGCACCCTGCAGATGTGCCCCGGGGCTCTTGCTGGGAGACAGCTGTGGGCATCGTGAGTAGTTTCACTCCCTGCAAAGATGATCCCTTGTTTTCAGTCTCAGTTCTTTGTTTTCCTTTCTTGGTATTTCCATGTAAGCAATAACCCAAAACACTCATCAACTGTCCACTCTAACAAGCACTTCTTAATCATCTTGGAAAGCACAAAATGAGGGGAAAGCATATCCTGTGCTCTCTGAGAACTCCAAATCTATTTCTGACTTAAATATTGTGATGAGAGGCTGCAGGCATGATTCAAGTGGTAGACTTCTCGCCTAATTAACATGAGGCCCTAAGTTCAAATTGCAGTACCGAAAAAAAAAGAAAGAAAACATGTGATAGAGTGTGAATCTTTCCAGGTTTATCTTTCTATCAATCTGTTGATATCTTTATATACAAAGAACAAATCTGATTTAGTAGGAGGTAAAAGAGCCAGCTGTGGTCTCCAGGGATTGATGGTCTTACAAGGGACAACTGACATTTCAGAGCAGGTTGTAAGCCTGGAGATCCTAGTAATAACCACTTTGCACTGGGTATCCCCAGCATACCAGACAATTTACATATGTAATTACCAGGCTTCTCATTAACTCTACAGGGGTGATATCATTATCAACTTCAAGATGTTCCCAGAAGCCTGGTATGATACTCAAGCCTATAAACCCAGCTACCTGAGAAGTAGAGATCAGGGGATCATGGTTCAAGGCTAGATCCATCATAAAAGTTCAAGAGACTCTATTTCAACCAATGGCTAGGTGTGGTGGCACATATCTGTCACCCTCAGCCAAATGGGAAAGCACAAATAGACCAGGTGACCAGGCATAAGATTCTGGAGGTATGGCTCACAATTGGTAGAGTAGCTGCCTTGCAAGTGAGAGGCCCTGAGTTCAAACTAAAGTACCACAAAAAAGGGTGTTCCCATGTTCCAATATTATTCCAAAGCCATGCAACTAATAATATATAGAACTGTGATTTAAGCATCCTCCAGAGCCTGAGACCCTTTCTCACATCACCACTTTCTTTTATATGTGTGTGTGTGTTTCATTGTAAAAATACTGTACAAGCCGGGTGCTGGTGGCTTATGCCTGTAATCCTAGCTACTCAGGAAGCTGAGATCTGAGGATCGTGGTTCAAAGCCAGCCCGGGTAGGAAAGACCGTGAGACTCCTATCTCCAATAAACCACCAGAAAACTGGAAGTGGAGCTGTAGCTCAAGTGGTAGAGCGCTCGCCTTGAGCTGAAGAGCTGAGGGACAGCGCCCAGACCCAGAGTTCAAGCCCCACGACCGACAAAAAAAAAAAAAATACTGTACAGTGGGGTTACAGTTACATGAGTAAGGTAATGAGTACATTTCTTTTCGAACATTGTTACCTCCTTCTTTGTTTTTCCCCTACCATCCCTTCCCTCCCTACCTCCCCAACTCCTCCGTCCCCCCCCAAGTTGTAAATTTCGTTTTCAACATAATGTCTTGTACATCTCATTGTTACAATGTGTCCTTATTTCAGCATTTTGTTATTTCCCTTCCCCTCCCCAAATTAGAAAAAAATGTATATACAAGATGCAGGGCACCAACATCAAATACAGTGAAAATAGGGGTTATACCGTGGGGGATGAACATACAAGAGAAACAAAAAAAAAATCACACAGTACATTGTAAATACGTTAAAAGCAATAGCAAGAAAAAAACTACTTGTGTCCCTATCCTGGGGTTCGTTTCACTTAACATCATCTTATATGGTCATATTTACATAGCTTTTGACCTTTTCTGCTTGTCCTAGACTTATACTAGTTATTGCAAATAAGGGAAACCATGGGACCTATGTTTCTTTGGGCCTGGCTTATCACATCACCACTTTCTATAAAGAACTCGAAGGTAGCCAAGCACTGGCACCTCACACCTGTGATCTTAGCTACTCAAGGATCATGATTCCAAGCCAGCACAGGCAGGAAAGTCTGTGATGTTCTTATCTCCAATTAACTATCAAAAAAAGAAAACCCTGGAAGTAGAGCTGTGGCTGTAAGTGGTAGAGTACTAGCCTTGAGCACAAAAGTTAAAGGACAGCTCCCAGACCTTCAGTTCAAGCACCAGGACTGCAAAAGATGGGGAGGGGGCAGGGGAGAGAAAACTAGAAGGTCATAGCAATGGGGCAATGGGTTCAGGTGAGAGTTTGTGTCTGCAGTCAGTGGGAGAAGAAGTAGGCAAGGTAAAACCCTGACCACGCCCATTATCTGTGTTTCTTCTTTTAGGAATTCATGAGGCTGACAGTGTCCGACATGCTGGTAACCTACATCACCATCTTGGTGGGGGACTTCCTCCGGGCTTGTTTTGTCCGGTTCATGAATCACTGCTGGTGCTGGGACCTGGAGGCTGGTTTTGTAGGTTACCCTTTCATATACATTCTGCAGTAAAGGTGTTCTAACCACCTTCTTTGATACTTAATATTGGATGAATTTCTGTGCATCTTTGGATTCTTACTGCAAATCTCTGCTCTGTGAAGCAGTGCAGTATTTAATCTTCATTTCCTTTCAGGGCTCTCTTTGTCTTCATTGAAGCAATTCTGCTTTTTTCCCCTTATGACCTTATCTGGGCAATGGTGGCAGACAGCTTTGAGAAAAGGCAGACTGTGTAGTTCAGTTCTGAGCAGATATTTGGTGGGAAAAATGCTTGAGGGACATTACTCTCACCAGGGAGGCTGAAGTCCTAGGATGGATATGAATATTTACCAAGTCCTGAAATATACCAAGAACACAATAGCTATTGTACTGTTTTCTGAATTATACCTGGAGAAATTTCTTTTGACTCTTGTTTTTTTTCCACCCAGAATGCTCCTCTTCCTTACATAGGTAGCAAACTGCTTATCCCAAACATGTGTCATTGGTGCCAAGAGGGTCTACAATGACTTTCTATGTCTGTCAGCCCTCTGGCCCACTCATTTGTCTTATGCATGTCTTTCTGCAGAACCTCATTGGTGACTCATCAGTCATTGGTGTTGGGGGTGAAAGGAGTCTCCCTTAACTGGGCTCCTAATAAAAGCTTCCATATCTTGGTTACCTGTGTAGCCCTCATCCTGGCCCACATTAGGGTGCCTGACAGGTAAGGGCCTCAGTTACGGGTTTCTGTCATCCTTTTTTTAGTACCACCACAATTTTAAACAAATCTACTCAATACCAGTCACAGAAGACTTCGTAACTATGTCTAGAATACAGGCAAAAAAAAAAATTTTGGTGCTCAGAAAGAATGACATCTTTGGTAAACTGGCCTCATATTGATTTATAATTTCAGTAAGATTCCAAAGTTATCCTAAAGTTCATTTTAAAAATAAGCATCTGGAATTATATCTAAGAAAACATTTTAGAAAGAAGACCAAAATGGACTAGAATTACCATTATTTAAAAAACATAGCTGGGCGCTGGTGGCTCATGCCTGTAATCCTAGCTACTCAAGAGGCTGAGATCTGAAGATCACGGTTCAAAGCCAGCCCGGGCAGGAAAGTCCATGAGACTCTTATCTCCAATAAATCACTGGAAAACAGGAAGTGGCACTGTGGCTCAAGCAGTAGAGCGCTCGCCTTGAGCTGAAGAGCTGAGGGATAGGGAAAGCACCCAAGCCCAGAGTTCAAGCCCCACGACCAACAACAAAACAACATATATATATATATATATATATATATATATATATATATATGTAAAAATTAACAAACTTATGAATGGAACAGAACAGAAATATCCAGAAGTAGATACAACCAATAGTGGGATTTATGATATAGGATCCTTTCAGATCAGTTTGCAAAAGGATTGTATGAAAATGAACTGGCAGTGGGGAGGAGATAGTACCTCTCTCACCATTTCACCTTGATAAATTAATTGTAGGTGAATCAAAGTTTTAAACAACAAAAAAATGAAATCGGGCTGGGAATGTGGCTTAGTGGTTCAGTGCTTGCCCAGCATGCATGAAGCCCTGGGTTTGATTCCTCAGTACCACCTACACAGAAAAAGCTGGAAGTAGTGCTATGGCTCAAGTGGTAGAGTCCTAGCCTTGAGCAAAAGAAGCTCAGGGACAGCGCCCAGGCCCTGAGTTCAAGCCCAGGACTGGCAAAAAAAAAAAAAATCATAAATTTATAAGGGAAAGCATTATAGAAGCTTAGAATCTTGAGGAATGGGAAAGATTTTTCTAAGTAAAACACAAAATGTAAGTGTTTAAAATATTAAAATCTAACCTTTAAAAATCCCAACCTTTAACCCACAGGCATTTGTATTATGCAGCTTTCCTACTTTGATCTATGGTTTTCTGGCCTCCTTTTCTCTTTTCCCTAATTCCTCATTCTTCCTTTCCTTATTCTTCCTTTTCTTATTCTTATCACCCTTTCATCTGCACATCTAGAAGACAAATTGAGAAGCAGATATATAAATAAACATGTTTCAAGAGATCCTCAGCTTTATATTGTTTCAAATACTTAACAAGTCATCAAAAATGAAAATTAGTCAGAAAGGAAATATACATAAGTCTGTATTTTTGTTTTGATGTGTGTGTGTGTATGTGTGTGTGTGTGTGTATGCACGCGCACACACACTGCTTGGTCTTGGGGCTTGAACACAGGACCTGAGCACGGTCCCTTAGCTTGTTCCTCAAGGCTGGCACTCTACCACTTGAGCTACACCTCCACTTCTGAATTTTTATTGATTAGAGATAAGGGTCTCACAGACTTTCCTGCTTTGGTTGGCTTTATTTCACTATCCTCAGATCTTAACTTCTGAATAGCTAGGATTACAGGCATGAGCCACTGGCACCAGGCTTTGGCCTTTTTCTTTCTGTAAATTGCTCCCATACTGGAGGAAGACAAGAAGGAATGACAGGTAGAAGAATAATTTGGAAAAAAAGAGAATAATTTGGCTTTTATTTGTTACAAAGGTGCCTTTCCATTTGATTCTTCAATTAATTATTTGTATCTCATTATTTATTAGATTTACTCCTGGATTATAATTTCAAGGTTAATTTCTGATTAAATCATGTATAAAATATTCTTTTAGGGATAAGCTCCTCCCAGGAACATGGGGCCAGCCTGTAGGCTGTAAAAGGTAGTATTAACAGTTTTTATTAGGAAAAAGTTTCAGCTTTGAGAATCTCAAAACTTTCCTTTAAAAGGCAAAATCCTGCCAGGTGCCAGAGGCTCATGCCTGTAATCCTAGCTACTCAGGAGGCTGAGATCTGAGGACTGCAGTTCAAAGCCAGCCTGGGCAGATAAGTTTGTGAGACTCTTATTTCCAATAAACCACTAGAAAAGCAGAAGTGGTGCTATGGCTCAAGGGGTAGAGTGCTCACCTTGAGCTGAAGAATGCAGGGACAGCGCCCAGGCCCAGAGTTCAAGCCCCACAACTGACAAAAAAAAAAAAAAAAAAAAAACCTGCTGGGCATTGGTGGCTTACATCTATAATCCAAATTATTCAGGAGGCTGAGATCTAAGAATTGTGGTTCAAAGCCATCCCAGAAAGGAAAGTCCATGAGACTTTTATCTCCAATAAACTACAAAAAAAAAAAAAGCTGGATGTAAGTTGTAGCTCAAGTGGTACAGTGCTAACCTTGAACAAAAAAGCTCAAGCTCAGCACTCAGGCCCTGAGTTCAAGCCCTAGGATCAGGACAAACAAACAAACAAAAAACCTGACAAAGAACATCAGACTTCTTTTTCAGCAACGTAGCAGCCTCTTTAGGATAGATTGGCATTGGTTTAACCAATTGGCTGCTGACACCACTTAACTTTCTCTCTCTCTTTCTCTCTCTCTCTCTCCTATCTCTCATTCCCTCACTCCCCCAGCCTTCATATGCTGAATTTGATATTAGTGGAAATGTGCTGGGTTTGATCTTCAATCAAGGAATGATCTGGTGAGTTATCCAGTTATCAAGGAATGATCTGGTGAGTTATCCAGTTTATCTATAGATCACCTAATTTGGGGAGTCAAAAAAACTAGTAGTAAAAGTTAGTTGTTGTTGTTTTTTTTATAAAAAAAGCCTAGAATCATAGGCTTGGATAAACTACCTTAGCTTCTGAGTTCCCTCTTTCACATGAAAAATAGAAGTCAAAGCTGGATGAGAACTAGAATAGTTTCTGACTCATCCACATGCTACTTGAAAGCTAGACAGAGAAGAGAGAGAAGGAAGTAGGGAGAAGAGGAAAGAAGGGAGAAAGAAAAAAGGAAAGGGAAAAGAAAGAATGAGGGAAAATGAGGCAGAAAAACAGAGAAGGGAGTAGCTAAACAAAGGAACTTCCTTCTTTAGAAAGAGAGTGAAAGAGGAGGCTGCATAACTTGAGCCAAAGACACTTGAGATGCTAAAGAAAGCCTGACAGCCACTATCCCATGGTAAACTGTATATGGAGACCATGGACAAATAGGTTAGTACAGTAAAATCTTGACCAGTGCCCAAGCCAGAAAGGCTCAGTGTATCATTCTCCTGCAGACTGGGTGGCTATGTCTGGGTGACTAATGTCCTCACTAAATGAGACACCCCTGATCTTGAGACCTACAGAAAAGCAACTTGGTCTCATGCTCCTAAACCTATCCATCTCATTTCCTTCTATCAGCAGTCCTTCACCTTTCTTATTACCAGGCCAACTAGGTGTCCCATTTCTGCCCTTCAAGGATGGGCTCCTTCTACGCTCCAGGACTGCTGGGCATTAATGTCCTGCGCCTGCTGACCTCCATGTACTTCCAGTGCTGGGCAGTGATGAGCAGCAACGTCCCCCACGAACGTGTGTTCAAAGCCTCCCGGTCCAACAACTTCTACATGGGCCTGCTGCTGCTAGTGCTCTTCCTTAGCCTCCTGCCAGTGGCCTACACCATCATGTCCCTCCCACCCTCCTTTGACTGCGGTCCATTCAGGTACAGAATCTCAGGTGTTGGGAGCAGGTCCTCTTGAGACATTCTGCGTAGGGCCTGGCTTTAGAATTCTAGTTCTGGTTTCATGTCAGCTTGTTAAGGGATCATAGAGCTTTGGGTAAATCATCAGTGCCATTCAGTAGAGCTTTCTGCAAGGATGGAAATGTTGTATGCTACCCAATATACAAAGTTTTCATTTTATCAGCCTCCGGGGAACTTTTTCTATGCCAGGAAGCTTTATATTGGTGTTGTAGCTATATCACAAGAAATTTTCTCCTATTAGAGTGTATGAGAAAGCTGGATATAGTGGCTCACACCTGTAGTCCCAGTTATTTGAGAAGCCAAAGTAGAAGGAATACTTGAGTCCAAGAGTCTAAGGATAGCCTGGGCAGCATAGCTAGACCTTAACTCTTAAAAGAATAAAGAAGACAGGTGCTGGAGGCTCACACCTGCAATCCTAGATACTAAGGAGGCTGAGATCTGAGGATCCTGGTTCAAAGCCAGCGTGGGCAGGAAAGTCCATGGGATTCTTTATCTCCAATAAACTATTCAGAAAAGGCCAGAAGTGGCACTGTGGCTCAAGTGGTAGAGTGCTAGCCTTGAGCCAAAAAAGCTCAGGACAACACCTAGGCCTTGAATTCGAACCCCAGAACTGGTACCAAAAATAATAATAATAATAAAGAATATGTGAGACAAAAAAAACCCCACACATTTTCTTGTGAGGAATCAAACAGAGAATACCATTGTAAATTGAGAGGTTGTGAAGTAGAAACCAAGGACAGGAAGCTGCGAGCTAGGGTTCAGACTCAGCTATACATCCTGGCCCAAGAGGCAGGCCCTAGGGCATTGTTTCCTTGCAGTCCACTTGGAGCAGAGAGCTGGTCTACCAGGAAGCAGTAGTAGCTTTGGAGCTGTAGGGTGTGGACAGGGCAGGTATACCCTATGATCATTGTTACAGGCTGTCTTGTGTCCACTCCTCTTTTCAGTGGGAAAAACAGAATGTATGATGTCCTCCAGGAGACCATTGAAAATGATTTCCCAACCTTCCTAGGCAAGATCTTTGCTTTCCTTGCCAATCCAGGCCTGATCATCCCAGCCATCCTGCTGATGTTGTAAGTTAGCCATGGACTATGGCTAGAACCTTCCCTTACAACTGAGACTTCCTGAACAGGTCCTTCTATTTCCCTTGCTTCTACTAGATTCCCCAGAAGCAAGTTCCCTGAGAGAGAGAGAAAGTCAAGTGCCGGCAGTTTATCAGAGAGGGGGCTAATAATTGAGACAAGGAAGGGAAAGGGAAAGGCATGGTGCTTGATGATCTCTCAATTGTGTGTGTGTGTGTGTGTGTGTGTGTGTGTGTGTGTGTGTGTGTGTGTGTGTGTAGCAATCCTGGAGCTTGAACTGAGTGCCTGGGCACTGTCCCTGAGCTTTTCCACATCAAGCTTTTGTGTGGTTAATTAACGATAAGAGTCTCACAGATTTTTGTGCCCAGACTGGCTTCAAACTATGATCCTCAGATCTTAACCTCCTGAGTACCTAGGATTATAGGCATGAGCCACTCACTGATGCCTGGCTCTCCTAGTTTTAAAGCTTCTGTTAAATCTGGTTAAATCTCTGGTTAAAGGCTAATTGGGAGAGACTCAAAGGCCTGGCACAGGGCAGACGTCAGAAAAGCAGACATCGGTTCCTTTGCCTGTTCTTTTCCCCACCATCTGTCCACAGGCCTATGAGTCCCTGATCTAGAGTCGCGTGATAGCCTCAGACCCCCTGCATTGCTCCAAGAACAGTGTAGTTCCTCATCTCTAGCTGAATAGAGCACTAATGTAGTCACCCAACCTTGAGAAGGAAGGCTCAGAAAACCCATGCTAGAAGATTCATGGAGGATAATGACTAATAAGGATGGCCTAAAAATTCACAGGCAAATAGCAGAGCATGCAACTCAGATGATGTTCTGGCTGTGTCCCTCCGCCCCCAGATGCTATAGTACACAGCTACAGGAAGCCCAGGTTGCAGCCTCAAAGGACACCAGTCACCTAGGTAGCCAGTGGGACCTAGACTCTAAAAGTCCTAAGTCCAGACATGCTAATGTTTCCTGTGTAGGACCTTCAGGGCATCTGCAGTTATGTTGCTAGGCAATCATGGAACATCTCTCTTCTCATAGGCTTTAATCATTATAGAAAGAACTTTGTAGAAAAGCTTTGTAGCAAAAGATTGTAGAAAGATTCCAATGAATACTGAAGGATGGGATGACCTTGGACAATTATTTCACCTTTCTGAATTCCCAGGTATGCCCTGTAAATGTGGGGGTCATCCTTTGCAATCTACAGTTTTAATCAAAACCAGGGAGATATGGGGTGTATCTACACAGGGCACAGAGCCTGGCACAGGGAGGGCAGGTGTCCAAAAACATGAGCAGCTTCTGTAGACAGAAACCTACCACTCCCTCACCCTTCAGATTTACCAAAAGAGTGGTGATTCCTTTTGACAACCTTTAATGAGCACTCTCAGAGACAGAGATTATGTTAGTCATGACCACATTCAATAAACTGGAGAAGCAGTTGTGGTTTCCAAGACCCTCTCCACGCTGAAAAGAGAATTTGGGATATAGGGCTTCCCTCAACTCTGCCAAAAAGCAGAACCCCATCTTGACTTCTGTGGAAAAATGCTCTCAGCATTTTCCAACATTCCAGGACTACAAGCAGCATGTTTTTCTCTTGCAGCCTGGCCATCTACTACCTGAACTCAGTTTCGAAAGGCCTTTCCAGAGCTAATGCCCAGCTGAGGAAGAAAATCCAAGCAGTGAGTCTATTGGAAATTTCAACCTAGAGGGGAGAAAGCTGTCATTATTCTGTTTCTTCCTACTTTTCTCTGTGGTTCCAATTGTATGATCTCCATGGCTTTCTAATAAACTAAATCCCAAAGCATACACATATATTGTGACCATTTGGTGGGAATCCATACTAATAATGAGAAATTTTTCTAAAGAACAGGAGAAATGCATTGGGCTAGGCCAGTGCTCATACATAATAAAGCCAGTACCTACAACAATTTCCACAGAGTCAAACTCATAATATAAGATGGCCTGGGTGCTGGTGGCTGATGCCTGTAATCCTAGCTACTCAGGAAGCTGAGATCTGAGGATGGTGGTTCAAATCCAGCCCCGGCAGGAAAGTCCATTAGACTCTTATCTCCAATTAACCACCAGAAAACCAGAAGTGGTGCTGTGGCTCAAGAGGTAGAGCTGAGGGACAGCACCCAGGCCCAGGCCCTGAGTTCAAGCCCCACCAAAAAAAAAAAAGGAAAAGGAAGGGAAGGGATATACAGAAAACCATTGGCAAGAACTGAAAACATAGTTCTACTCTCTACTCTCTACTTCTCCTGTGGGTTCTAAGCTTTAGACACCTAAGTTCTTGGCTGGGACTAAAGTTTTTTGTGAGTTGTTGTTTTGTTTTGTTTTGTTTTTTCCTATAGCTTCGTGAAATTGAGAAGAGCCACAAATCTGTCAAACGCAGAGCTAGCAATTCAGAGAACAGATCAAAACACCAAAATGACACTCAGCTGCAACTTACTAAAGAAGGTAAATTGTTTCCCACGATGATGGCTTTTTACTAGGCCACCTGGAAAATTATCAAGAACATATCATGTGAAATTGGATTGATATAGGGTTGGAATCAGAATGCTGATGATGAGCTAAGTGAACTCAGGAAGTTAATATGGGACTAAACATAGCACCTACTTCCTTCACGAAAGGGGAAAGTACACGGAAAGTGCTTAACCCAATTCCTGGCACACAGAACACATCAATGAATACTCACTGGTAGTAGAAGCTTGTATTCTCTCTAAAAAAAAAAAGAAGAAGAAGAAGAATAGAAACTCTGGAATATCTAGAAGAAAAGGACTCATAAGAATTTTCATGAGAAAAAGTGTCTCAGAGCTTTGAAGGGGAGTGATCACAGACCAGCTCCAACTCAGGAGGGAAGAAAGGTCAAGTAAGAGCCTCTGGGGTGGTTCCATTTTCCAGAGACTATCTCTGCTTTTAAGTTAAACATTGTCAGCATGTGATAATGATGGTCCTGGGTTTGAAAACTGAACAAGATACCAAGAAATGACTGAATTTCAGAGTTAGAATTTTTTTTACAAATGTTTCAGTTCTTTTCTTTTTTAATTATATATGTATATATAATATTTAAGTAGTTATACAAAGGAGTTATCGTTCAACCAAGTAGTTTATTAGTACATCTTGATCAGTGTTACCCCTTTCAATGTCGCCCCTTCCCTCCCTTAATTTTGTAGGGTATACATTTTTATTGAACTTTGATTAGCCTTTTTAAGGAACAATACTATTTGAGTTCTTCCCTGAATCTAGCATTTCAGTCAATGCATTTGTGTACACTTAGATACTACCCAAAGTGTTTACTTATGCCAGTACTGGGGCTTGAACTAAGGGCCTGCTTGCTGCCCCTTAAGTTTTCCCCACTCAAAGCTGACACTCTACCAATTGAGCCACACCTCCATTTTTTGGGTAGTTAATTGAAGATAAGTGTCTCACAGACTTTCCTGCCCACTGGCTTCAAATTATGATCCACAGATCTCAGCCTCCCAAGGAGTTAAGATTATACGTATGAAACATTTAAGTGTTCCAATTTCTTAGGCATTACATTTGATTTATTCTTTTTTTTACTACTTTTTTTGTGTAGGTCCTAGGACCTGTACCCAGGGCCTAGACATTATCCAGCTTTGGTGCTCAAGGCTAGTGTTCTACCACTTTGAGCTATAACACACAGCAATATTTCCTGCTTTGGGGTAGTTAATTGGAAATAAGAGTCTCACAGACTTTCCTGCCTGGGCTGGCTTTGAACTGCAACCCTCAGCCCTCAGCCTCCAGTGTCTGGCTAAACGTAGATTTTCTTTTCAATATGAAATTGAATAAATCTAAGCCCAGGCTGGGAAGGTGGCTCGGTGGTAGAGCGCTTGCCTTGCATGCCTGAGGCCCTGGGTTCGATTCCTCAGCACCACATAAGCAAAAAGAAAAAAGCCAGAAGTGGCGCTGTGGCTCAAGTGGTAGAGCTCTAGCCTTGAGCTGAAGAGCTGAGGGACAGCGCCCAGGCCCAGAGTTCAGGCCCCACGATCGGACCCCCCCCCCAAAAAAAAGAATAAATCTAAGCCCATGAATGATATTATAAATACCCAAAGTACCCTTGGCAGAAAAAGGCTTCCCCACACAGCTGCAGGGTGGCTCCAGAGTGATCAAGCTATGCAGAACTTCCCATATCTTCATTCTTATCTTCATTTTCCAGAGCCCATGCCTCTCTCTGCCAGCCAATGCCAAACCCTGGACAAGAAGACAGGGAATACTGCAACCTTCAGTTCTGCCAGGAAGATCCCACAGCCGGCCTCCAGGCACCTGACTGGTTCTCAGCCTCTGGGAGTCAAACCAGATGCTGGACAATCCCAGCCTCAAACGCACCCCTTCAGGTCAGCCACTGGAAAGAGTATTCAAAGGACTCCCCGCTGACAATTGGGACTTATGGAACATAGGTCCTGGGACTGATCCTCAGCTCCCACCCTTTCACACATCCCAAACTGGTATTCTCCTTGCCTTTCTCAAACAGGCGTGGTCTCTTTCCTCTTATTTAGGATGAGTAGTTTTTGATTACTTACTTGGTCTTAGCCACTAAAAGAGAAGAACAAAGGCTTCCCCTGGCTTGTGGGAAAGGGTTGGAGCAGAAGCCTTCCTTGCACTAACTGCTCTTGCCAATATCTTGGTTAGGGCAGCTTTGGGGCTCACTGGCTAGTGGTTTCCCTCAGCTCCAGATTTACGGAGGAGTGCAGTGGGGTCAGGATGACTCCCCTCACAGACTTCATAGAGCACATGTTGGGACCCTGGTTTCTGCATAACCTGGAGGCAAGGCAAAAGGGCTTACCTTACTCACCATCACCAGAGGAGGTGAGGTGGTTTAAATAAAAGATCCAAGATGCAATGGAAATAAAGGCAAAGAAGCCCAAGTCTCTACATAGTAAGTGAGAAGGAGAGTGATGCCCAACATCCAGCCTGAGGAAAGCTAAGGCCAACGAAGCACCAAACATTCACTGGAGCCTTAGCAGCAAGACTAAGAAACAAGTTCTCTTGATCTAACTGAGGGAAACTTAAAGGCTGCTCAGAACAGAAAAGTATTTTTAATGCAGCAAGTTTTAAAAAAGAATTTGATTAACCTGCTTACTGGACAAGGAATCTCAAAGGTGACGTCTTTGCAGAGTTTGGGAAGGCACAATACAAGAACCTTGTTTCTGGTGATATATATATTTAGTTCCATGCAGAATATCTCCTAGTGGGCATTTAGTCATACAGTCACACCATTAAGGAGACTGCCAGCAGGGGCAAAGACTTAGCAGGGCAGGAGTCTAAGGCTCTCCTACTGCCCCCAAGCCATCTTACAACTGGCTTCTTCCTTTCATCTGCTTGTGCTGCTAGTGTGATTTCAGCAGCAAGGGGCGGCCATCTTATTCTGACAACAATGTCTTTTGAGCATTCTAAAAGGAAACCTCTCGGGCTAGGAAGGTGGCTCAGTGGTAGAGTGCATGCCTTGCATGCATGAGGCCCTGGGTTTGATTCCTCAGACCACATAAGCAGAAAAAGCCAGAAGTGGCACTATGGCTTCAGTAGAGCATCAGCCTTGAGCTGAAGAGCTGAGGGACAGTGCCCAGGCCCAGAGTTCAGGCCCCATGACAGGCCAAAAAAAAAAAGGAATCCTCTCCCTTGGTCAGTGTGGTTACAGCCATCACTCAGGGTCCTACAGGCTCTCGAAGGCATCTCCTACACTCTGAAAGTCAGGCAAAGCTCTAATGAAGACATTAGTAAGATTTCGTAATAAACGATGTTCAAGTTCCAGTTCCTTCTCAATTTAGAGTCACATTTCACATACAACCTGATATGGCCTGGGAATGGAGCCATATGACTAGTAGAAACCAGATAAAATTCTTTACCATAGTCCATCTCCAGGAGAATTAGAGAGGTAGTGATGAATCATTTCCACGAGGCCCCAGCAAGCCCCCAATCCAATGCTGCCTGAGTGTCATCATAGGCCTCCTTCTGAGAGCAAACACACTGGTGTCTGTCTGTTTGCTTACCCAGCCGAGATTTCATCACAGGAATACAGTTACTCTAATCTAGCCAGTCAGCTCTGGAAACTCCATGAAGACCCACCCCTTCAATATCATCCTGTCTGGGAGTAATGCCAGTCCCAGGGAAGGGAAGACACGGGGAACCTGTTTGCTAGTTATTATGCTATGTCTCAGATGGTTACCAATGTGCCTAAACACTGAGCACAATTCAAACATACTCCCTCTTCTAATGAAGCTTTATTTGTTTGTTTGTTTGTTTGTGTTTTTCCAGAGCTGGTCCTGGGGCTTGAACTCAGGGCCTGAGTAGCTAGCTTTTCTGCTTAAGGCTATTTCTCTAGCACGTGAGCCAAAGCACCATTCCAGATTTTTTTTTTAAATAATTGTAGATAAGAGTTTCATGAACTATCTTACCTAGGCTGGTTTCCAGCTGCAATCCTTAGCCTCCTGAGTAGCTGGGATTACAGGCATGAACTGAACCGCCAGAGCCTGGCATAATGAAACATATTTTTATATAAAGTAATGTACTTGTTATGTATTGTGAACCCATTCTTGCTTTCCCAGGCTAACTCCTACAGGAGCTTAGCTCAAATGATACCACACATGCCTAGAAAGCATGAGGCCTTGAGTTCAACCCCTAATACAACCAAAACAAAAAAACAACTTCCAAATTGCATCGTGAAGATTTAACAATTTGGGTAAAACTACAAAAATCCTAACATTAGGGCTGGGAAGGTGGCTCAGTGGTAGAGTGCTTACCTTGCATGCATGAGGCCCTGGGTTCAATTCCTCAGCACCACATAAGCAGAAAAAGCCAGAAGTGATGCTGTGGCTCAAGTGGTAGAGTGCTAGCCTTGAGCTGAAAGCTGAGGGACAGCGCCCAGACCCAGAGTTCAGGCCCCACAACCAGCAAAAAAAAAAAAAAAATCCTAACATTATAAGTATTCAACATATAACAGATAATGTCATAGGCATAGAAATAATCTGTTTCAAGCCTTGCACCAGTGGCTCATGCCTATAATCCTAGCTACTCAGGAGGCTGAGATCTGTGGATCTCGGTTCAAAGCCAAACCCAGCAGGAAAGTCCATGAGACTCTTATCTCCAATAAACCACTAGAAAACTGGAAGTGGCGCTGTGGCTCAAGTAGTAGAGTGCTTGCCTTGAGCTGAAGGGCACAGGGACAGCGCCCAGGCCCAGAGTTCAAGCCCCATGACTGCTAAAAAAAAAAAAGAAAGAAAGAAAAAGAAATAACCTGTTTCAGGTTTTAACAATACACTTACCCTATAGTCCTCATTAGTGCCTGAGCCTCAGAAACTGCCAGGTCTTCAATGCCCAAAAGAAAAAGACCACTGGGTGATGACCTACCCAAAAGGCTTCTCCTTCTTCTGTGTCTGTGTAAGATGTATATATAACTCATGACAAACCAATGCTGTGGCATTTTCTTTCCATATTTGAGAAAGGTTTCAGGAATTGCTAGAAGCCCTTTCAACTTTGTGTGTGTACACATGCACATGTGTGTGCACACACATGTGAATACACACTTGAACTCTGTCTGGTCTGGGGTGCTGTCCGTGAACTCTTTAGCTTAAAGCTAGCACTCTATCACTTGAGCCACAGTGCACTTCCAGTTTTCTGGTGGTTTACTGGAGATAAGAGTCTTATGGACTTTCCTGCCCAGGCTGGTTTTGAACTGCAATCCTCAGATCTCAGCCTCCTAAGTAGCTAGGATTACAGGCGTGAGCCACCAGCGCCCAGCTTCCAGTACAGCTTTTTGCTGGTTAATCAGAGATAAGAGTCTCAGATACTGGGCTGGGAAGGTGGCTCAGTGGTAGAGCACTTGCCTTGCATGCCTGAGACCCTGGGTTTGATTCCTCAGCACCATATAAACAAAAAGAAAAAAAAGCCGGAAGTGGCGTTGCTAACCTTGAGCTGAAGAGCGGAGGGACAGCACCCAGGCCCAGAGTTCAGGCCCCACAACCGGACCCCCCCCCCAAAAAAAGAGTCTCAGATACTTTCTGCCTAGGCTGGCTTCAAATCATGATCCTCGGATCTCAGCCTTCAGAGTAGCCAGGATTACAGGTATGAGCCAGCAGTGGCCCAACCCCTTTCAAATTTGATAAGAATTTTCTCACTCACAAAATGAGTGTAAAGTGTGGCCATCTTGTGGTGGTTTTGTACAATTTCCTTCTCTGAAGCTGAGGATTTTAAATTGTACCTTTTATTTACAGTCTCTTTAATCTTGCCCAAAGCAAAAGTTCTGGTTCAAGTTATACCAAAATGACAGCTGTGGGCTTGGCCAAATGAAAAAAATGTCAGGTGATTTTGTAAAAATCCTTTCCCAAAAGTGAATAATCTTTTCTACACTGAAGGAGAAAAAAATGTCTCAGGAGCCACTTGACTTAAAGCCTGAAGCACCCAGGAAACCCACAGTCTCCTCAGAACTGCTACCCATATGTGCTGTTTTCTCAGTAGGAACACATTCGTCAGTCTGTCTTGCACATCAACCACCTCCAGATTAGTCTCCAATTAAACTGTTGGATGGACAATCAAGAATCTGATCTGAGACAAACTACTCATCATTTCATTCAAAGCTTCTCTAGATTTTAATCTTCTAGCACCTTCAGTCTTGTCTACTGATCAACTTGAATTTCACACCTCTAACTGGTTCTTATTTCTGCTTTTTGCTTCCACACTCCATCTACACAATGACCTATGAATACCCTCCAAACTCTCTAGCCATGAAGTCCACAAGTACTAGGCCACATTTTCCAGTCAACCTCTATACCACTGCATCTGAGCCCTGGATTACTGTTAAACTCTGGTGAATGTGAAGTCTCCCTCCGCTCAGTCCTTTATAGCTTTCAGTTTGTGCTTTTTGTTTTGTTTTGTTTTTTATTTTTTGTCAGTCATGGGCTTGAACTCGGCCTGGGCGCTGTCCCTCAGCTCTTCAGCTCAAGGCAAGCACTCTACCACTTGAGCCACAGCGCCACTTCCTGTTTTCTGGTGGTTTATTGGAGATAAGAGTCTCTCGCACTTTCCTGCTGGGTCTGGCTTTGAGCCGTGATCCTCAGATCTCAGCCTCCTGAGTAGCTAGGATTACAGGTGTGAGCCACCAGCTCCCAGCTCAGTTTATGTTTTTCAGACAAGATCTCTCACTTTTCTTGCCTTTCATACATGAGGCCCTGGGTTTGGGGTTAGATTCCTTAACACCACATAAGCTGGAAGTGGTGCTTGGCTCAAGTGGTAGAGCACTAGTCTTGAGCTGAAGAGCTGAGGACCAGCGCCCAGGCCCAGAGTTCAGGCCCCATGACTGACAAAAAAAAAAAAAAGATCTTCCACTTTTGCCTAGACCAGCTTTGGATTATGATCCCCCTAACTCACACCTCCCACATAGC